TAAATATTTATTGTAACATATACAGTAAATATTTATTGCAACATATACAGTAAATATTTATTGTAACATATACAGTAAATATTTATTGTCCTATAATCTTACTTTAAAATTATTCGAAAGTATTTAAACTCAATACTGGGAGGGCATGAATAACATTTTATCGGCATTTATTAACTTATTTATGAGCTTATGACATAATCTAAAAATGGATTGGCTTTGATAAAAAGAAAGGAAAAAAATAATGTTTTTATTGCTTCATGAAACTGGTATTAAAGATTAATTTTACATACATACTGAAAACAAACCTTTTTTGATCAACAAACTATCTTTATAATTACATGGTATGTTGTTTACAAATTATGTGGCATTTCAAAAATATAGCTTTTATAATAAAAAAAGTTATTGATTTTTGACTTACATTGAGTTAAACTTTAGTCTAATATAGTAAATCTGATGTTTATTATAACATCTTCAAATTAACAGGGACTACAAATATTTGTCTCATGGTGCTTAACTATAGCAGGTGCCAAATATTTTAGAAGAATTCAGTATAAAACCGAAAAACACCTTAATATTATCATATTGATATATTTTTATTTGGATATTTCCGTTATTGATTGGATATTGATTTGGATTTCTGATACTGTTACCATGTCAGAAGGTATTAATTTTTACCAATACAGTCATATAGGAGTTTGTTAATACTATGATATGGGCAAAAGAGTATTTATTTTCGCTTCTAATTTGTCTTTAATAATACTTTCAATTAATCAGTTTACTTTCTAATTATTAAAAAATGTTTTTTTTTTTTATTAAAAATCCTAATAATTAATTTTTTATGTTGTTGTTTTTTCACGGTTTCTCTGTATATATATATATATATATATATATATATATATATAAGGAAAAAATCAACAACGAGGTATTAAAATAAACTGTAAATAAAAAAAAAAATATTTTACATTCCGGCTAAAAAAATATTTATTTCGTTTCATACACTTATTTACAGCACTTGCCCCCTTTGCATTGCATTCCACAACCACACTCTGAAGACGGCATCTTCGGCATAGGATGTTTTGGTTTTGGATGACATGGTGATCCTTGACCTGAAAATCGAAAAATATAAATAGTTAACTACCACTTCAAATAATTTTATAATTTTTTTTTATATAACAGTTTTTATTTTATATAACAGACGAAATTTTCAGTTTACGACTGCCAATGTTCAACTCCGTAGCCTTGTAATTTTAAACCCAATCCAGAAGACAAAAGGAAACTCCTGGATCAAGCAATGGACGAAATTTGCTTTCATAGAGAACTTTTTGGAGGAGCTAACCCGAATTTAAGTTACATGTAGAGGAAAACTACGAAAATCTCTAATCCATGATCCATCTACTATTGGAGATATTTTTTGTCAGCACTGTGGTCAAAGTAAGCTGGGTACGGAATTCGTATCGACTAACCAACTCTGGGGTTTGAACCTGAATTACAGCCTTGGGAGGCGAACGCTCTATCCCATGAGTCACCACGTCTCTATGGTGGCCCTATTTTATTATATTTATAACTGGCTTTGAACAGCCCACCCAATTATTAGTTTACGACTAACAATTATCAGCTCCGTAACATTGTAGTTTTGAATCCAACCCAGAAGACAAGATCACTCCTGGATCAGGCATTGAGACAAACTAGCCTTTGTTGAGGACTTTTCTTGTGGTTTAACCCTCATTTGTGTTACATGGAGAGGAAAAACCACGAAAACCTCTAACTGTTATCCAGATGGTGAAGAGATTTTAACCCGTAATCCGTCTACCACTGTGGTCTGTGAGAGCCGGGAGAAGAATTCGCCTCAACCAGCCACCGCTGAGATTCGAACATAGGTCACCTTATTGGGAGGCGATAGTTCTATCCTTTGAGTCCCCTTGGTTTTACTTGAAATAATTTTATAAAAATCGTTAAACAGCCGAACTGATTTTGAGTTTACGACTATAAATGTACAGTAAGCAAAAAAAAAAAAAAAAAAAAAAAAAAAAAAAAAAAAAAAAAAAAAAAAAAAAAAAAAAANAAAAAAAAAAGAAAAAAAGGACCAACCGGAATAACTTTTGATCTAATGATCGGATCTTCACATTCTAAGACTCAATCTTAATGGCTCGTGGGTTTGACCTCAAATATGCTAATCAATAAGTCCAGATGATATTTTAAGTTATGAAATCAGACTCATAAACGTTCTTTCTCTGAATAAACATACCTTTTTTTTCGACAGATTTGGATGTCTGACCCCCAAAATATAGGAGGTATCGCCAATCTGGGAAATATGGTCCCAATAGTTTTTTTCAGGAGAGCGGTCTCTTAACAGTGCGGGAAATTCCTGAGAAATTGAATTTCAAAAAAATCAGATTTTTAAAATTAGATTTCTCAGGAACAATTCGACCGATTTTGCTCTAATTTATTATTTTGTCATGTAAAACTATATTCTGCAAAATTATGCAAACAATTCTTACTTATTATTTCTATTCTTACTAACTTAGTATAAAATAATAAATATTTACTATTACGTTATTTTTTACATTGCATTGTCTTTGGATAAACGAATTTTACAATTTTGTGCAAAAACTTTTCAACTCTCTTAAAAAGCTCTTGAGATATATTGAAATACGCAAAAAGGGAAATTAACATTAACTGGTCAAAACTTTACAGCGTTTTCTTGAACAAATTCTTGAAACCATATTTCCCAGATTGCGGTTACCCCTTATATTTTTGAGGTTAGAAATCCGAATCCGCAGAAAAAAAGTTATGTTTATTTAGAGAAGTGCGTTTTTGTGTTAGATTTCGTAATTGAAATTGTTGTCTGTGCTTATTAATTAGCATATTTGAAAGCGTGCCATTAAGATTGTGTCCTAGAACTAAGATCCCTTAAGGGAACCCCTGGATCAAACATTGGAAGAAATGTGTCTTCGTGGAGGATTCTTTGATAGAAATCTTTCGCATTTGCGTTACATGGAGCAGAAAATCGCTAAAACCTTCCATGGTATTCTAACGTGACGGTACTCTAACTCATCATCCGTCTACCACTAAGGATATTTTGCGTCAGCACTGTGGTTGGTGAGACCCGGATGCGGAATTCATATTGACTAGCAATCACCGGGATTCGAGCCCGGTTCACATCATTAGAATGCGAGTTTTCTATCCCTCGACTACCAATGTTCGATTCCGTATCCTTGTAATTTTTGAACCCAATCCAGAAGAAGAGGAGACTTTTGGCTCAAGTATTGAGAGAAATTTGCCTTCGTGGAGGACTTTTTGCTGGAACTAACCCGTATTTGCGTTACACGGAGAAGAAAACTACGTAAAGTCATTGATTTGTTATAGAAACTTAAAGGACTTTCTGACCCCGACAGATTTAACATGCACCAGACATCATTTTCATCACACGAGGATTCTTCGGCCGGCTGGATTCGAACTCCCGTTCTCACGAATATGAATCGAACGCCCGACCAACCAGGCTATCCTTTCTCACTTCAAGTAACTGTAGAAAATTTCAGTCTTAAACAGAGCATTGCATATTCAGGCTTAAACTTATAATTGTTCTGGTTGCTCAGTATCAGCCCTGGTGGGTTGGTACTTATTGCTTGGATCTGACATGAATCAAAGACATAAAATGATGACACGGCTAAACATGCAGTCTAATATAAAGGGTTATTCAATGCCTGTCCTGTAAATATTACCATTAAGATTAATTATATGCCTGGTAGAGAGCTTGTGTTGAAGGAGTTGCTACAATCATTTCTGAATTGTACATACACCTAATTTAATATAACATGCTTATAACTTAACATACATCACATATCTCAACATATGTATATATATACACCGAAGTGCCTTTACATTATGACCAACCTGCTATTAACATGTAGGACCACCTTTAGCTCTCAAAACTGCTAGCACCCGCTGTGGCATTGATCGCACAAGGTGCTGATAGGTAGTCTGAGGTATTTGGTACCAAGCGCTCACCAACTGGTCCTGCAATTCCCTCACATTGCGAGGGGGTACCGTGGCAGAACCAATTTGGTTTTCCAAGTAGAACCACAAATGCTCTATTGGATTAAGGTCAGGTGAATTTGGAGGCCAAGACATGACTTGAAAGTCACTGGAATGTTCCTTGAACCAATCCATGCCAATCCGACCCTTATGACATGGTGCATTATCCTGTTGGTAAACACAATTCCCCGCGGGAAAAACTGTTGCCATGAATGGGCAAACCTGGTCTGCAACTATGTTCAAGTAGCTTACAGACGTCAGGGATTGTTCTAAGAGGATTATATTTTATGAAAACAACAGAGTTTTAATGCTTTTATTAATACAAAAGTATTTATAACTTTTGTATTATTATTATTATTACATATATANATATATTTGCCCTTGTGCAAATACCGCCGTTAATTTAATCTTATATAGTAGATAAAAGCTTGCTTACTTAGCTGTGTCATGCACTTGGGACAACAGCCGCACGATCCTGCGTTTGGTTTCATTTTCTGATGTGGCATGCATTTCATTTTTGTTGGACATTTCATAGCACTGCAGCAATTGGGCTTGCATGTATTGTTCATGGGCATGCTAGTTTGTGGGTGCGCTTGTAATAGTTTCATGACCGCCATCAAAATATTAGTTGTACATTCTGCGTTGATGATCAGAGATATCAAAACAAAGCATATGAACATCTATAAAAGAATATATATATTAAGGGTTATTTTTAATATGTACTCGTTAATGAAAAGTTGTGCAGGCCCAACAAATGCAAACTAACTACAAAGATTCTTTGCATATTTATGAAACTTTCTAAAATATGGTCATTGTAATATAATTGTACTGATGCATTGCATAGTTATTGTTTCCCTCATAAGATTTTTCTTTTCGTCTTTTATTTAAAGATAACTTAAAATGTATGTTTTATAATTTGCATTTTTATTTATTAGATTTGAAATAATTTTAGTTACCATTATACCTAAAACAACGTAAAACATGTAAAGGGCCTCGGGCACTAAGTGAAATATTTTTCGAAAGTGCGCTTTTTACATCAAGCTGTTTCTCAGTATTGTTTCCTTGAGATTTGAACAAGTAAACAGCACACTATGTAGATGCATCATTGTCTACATGGGAATCGTGGTATTTTCCATCAATAACACTGGTAAGAACAAAAATGTGAAAATGTAGATTATCGTTAAATTGCCTCCAGCTCTTCGTGAATTGTGATAGCCAAATTGCTGAGTAATATGTAATAATTTTTTTGGTACTATTCGAATGCCAAATCTGCAACTTACTAGATAAAGAGAAGGAACTAGTAGACATTTTTTGTATTTCAAGCATGTTTTCAGAAAGAGAAATGGTATCCGTGGTTAACATACATTTTTAATAATCTCATACAACAGACAATGATTTTTTAAGACAGCTGAAATGTCTACCATTTATGAACTATCATATCTTTAACTATTCTTTTACTATTCTTAATTATGAGCCAACTACACTACTTACTTTTTCCGATTAGGAAATAATTCGGTATATATTAATAAACCATAATACATAATCAGGTGTATAGGTGTTAGTAAGTTGTGACAGTCACAGATACTTTCTTTCTTTCATAAACAAAATTGACAGGAAATAATTTCACGGCCAATTTTTTTTTCTTCCCTTTTCTGGGTGAGCTACAACCTTGTTTTGCTCATCATTATACATTACGTCATTTTGTGTTAAGTGACATGGTCCCTGTACATTCACCATAACTTATTAATTCTGAAATTAACATACGCAGTAACACCATAACAATTAACCGGCACCGAGCTGTGATGGCTCAGGGGAGGGAGCGTTCGCCTTCCAATGAGGTGAACCGGGTTCGAATCCCAGTTATGGTTGGTTGATACGAATTCCGCATCCGGCTTGCACTGACCACAGTGCAGACATAAAATATCCTCAGTGATAGACGGATCATGGGTTAGAATTCCCTTGCTGTAAGGCTAACAGTGGGAGGTTTTCCTCTCCATGTAAAGCAAATGTGGGTTAGTTCCCCCAAAAAGACTTCCACGAAGGCAAATTTCTCCCAGTACCAAGAGTATCCAAGAGTTCCCTTGTCTTCTGGATTGGGTTCAAAATTTACAAGGCTGCGGAGTACAACATAAGGTGGGCATTTTATCTACCAATAGCTGCCACTATTAACACAAGAAAAATTACAATCGAATTTATTCAGGTCGGAAATAAGAACATATGCCAAGCAAAAGGGTTTCGCCGATCCACCAAACACTCGGTAGCGTGAGTCTACTTTGCATATGCAAAACTTCTAAAATATTCTGTTTGTAAACGTTTGTCCTGCTTGACATTTTATTTATGAGTCTATTTAATTTACATTTACAGATAACCCAAGTTCTTTAAAATCTAATTTATTAAAACATTAATACATACACATGCTTGTCACATTGCTCATTCCAAAATTGGTTTTCCGAAGTGATTATGAAATGTAATTGGAAAAAATCAATTGCAGACAATGCATTTTTACATTTTGCCCTGCCCAGGCTTAATCAGTCGAAGATTATCACGCGATTATATAGAAAATTGATTTATACATGCGTAATGGTAATCCAAATCATTCTTAATTAAATTACAAATCCTAGAATGAAATTAATAAGCCAAAGTTTCACTATCATTTTAAATATAAACATAAAATCTCCCAGAAGAAGTGGCAGTTATGCATACACATAGCTGCCAACTTGTACGGAAGTTAAAAAATAATTTTCTTAGCTGTAGCAACAAAAGCGTTTTGATCTAAAAAGTTTGAATTGCATTTGAGTCTGTTTGCATTGGAGTCTGCATTGGAAAGTTAACATTGATGTCTGAAATCTTTCTTGATAAAAAGCGAGGTATTTGGTTCACAAATAAAAATTGAGGACTGAAATCTTTCTTAATGAACAAAAGGAAAATGTTTCACAAATGGAATATTCTAGTCAGAAATCCTTCTGGATAAAAAAAAAAAAACGAGGAATTTGGTTCACAAATAAAAATTGAAGACTGAAATCTTTCTTAATTAACAAAAGGAAAATGTTTCACAAATGGAATATTGGAATCAGAAATCCATCTTGATAAAAAAAACGAGGAATTTGGTTCACAAATAAAAATTGAAGACTGAAATCTTTCTTAATGAACAAAAGGAAAATGTTTCACAAATGCTATATTGGAGTCAGAAATCCTTCTTGATAAAAAAAAAACGAGGAATTTGGTTCACAAATAAAAATTGAAGACTGAAATCTTTCTTAATGAACAAAAGAAAAATGTTTTACAAATGGAATATTGGAGTCAGAAATCCTTCTTGATAAAAAAAACGAGAAATTTGGTTCGCAAATAAAAATTGAAGACTGAAATCTTTCTTAATGAACAAAAGGAAAATGTTTCACAAATGGAATATTAGAGTCAGAAATCCTTCTTGATAAAAAAACGAGGAATTTGGTTCACAAATAAAAATTGAAGACTGAAATCTTTCTTAATGAAAAAAAGGAAAATGTTTCACAAATGGAATATTGGAGTAAGAAATTCTTGTTGATAAAAAAAAAAACGAGGAATTTGGTTCAGAAATAAAAATTGAAGACTGAAATCTTTCTTGATGAACAAAAGGAAAATGTTTCACAAATGGAATATTGGAGTCAGAAATTCTTCTTGATAAAAAAAAACGAGGAATTTGGTTCACAAATAAAAATTGAAGACTGAAATCTTTCTTAATGAACAAAAGGAAAATGTTTCACAAATGGAATATTGGAGTCAGAAATCTTTCTTGATAAAAAAAAAGAGAAATTTGGTTCACAAATCGAACATTGGAGCCTGAAAACTTTCTTAGTAAAAAAAATAAAAAATAATAATAATATGTTTCACAAATCGAACATTGGTGTCTGAAATCTTACTTGATAAAAAAAAGAGGAATTTGTTTCACAAATAAACATTAGAGTCTGAAATCTATCTTGTTTAAAAGAAAAAAGGAAATGTTGCACAAATAGAACATAGGAACTTAAAACTTAATGGGGTAAAAACTTAATGGGCAAATAATAAAAAAAAAAATGAAGTAGAGAAAGTTTACCTGTCCTTGTGCTCCCATAACTATGCTGCTCCAAAATCCTTACTCATAGTAGTTATAGGAAAGGCTAAAGTGCCATGTTATATAAGCGATATGCTTGTTGCTTGGCAAAATCAGTATAGCTACAGTCTGATATGTTTATATCTTTCAAAACGTACGGAACAAAATTTATATTCCCCACATTTTTATATAAGCATGCTATTGGTATTTTATTTTGAACCAATTAAGTGTCATTGTTTCGAATTGTTGGTAAAACACTGAGTTTCTTGTCATTGTTTATACCGAAATGAAATAAACGTTTTGAAGTTACAATCATTTCTATATTTGATGAGTCTTAATAGGACTCGTAAATAATGGATATTCAAGGTAAAAACAAAGAAATGTCTAAAAATCACGTTCACGTAGCGGAACTTAGTTACCTGGCGTATTTAAAAGATAAGGAAACGCAAATTCTTTTCCAAATAAATTTGCATTTAAATTCCTCAAATTTTATGAATCGAAAAAATGGGCTTCGCAAATTCACATGATTAATTAAATATTTGTTCATTAGCTTACTTGTATAACAGTAATACAAAATAGAATTTCCAATCACAAGTTACTGCTGCTATTACAATTTTTAACTGGTCACTTGCGATTTATTACATTTCTTAGTATAAATTGTCCAGTAGAAAATTCACGTTATTTAAGATTTACGCTAAGAATTAAGTTATTTAAGTTAAGAATTAAGTTATCCAGCAGAAAATTTAAGTTAAGTTTCGAGTTATGGTAAAGTACTATGCATCTTTACCATAACTCGAAAAGCACTTAAGGAAAATCTTATTTTTGAATATGTTATAAGAGATAAAAATTATTAGCTTTAAATTTAAAATAATGTTTTTAATCATTTTTTGCTATAAAAAATAGCTATCAATTTGTCCCTTGTACTAATTTTAACTGTTATACGTAATTTAAAATTTAATTTCAGAAATTAAGTGTCCGAAGAAAACGATGCTTAGTTAGAAAACCTAAATTTTATACTGTGCATGTTTACCGTTACTCGAAAACGATTTGAAGAAATTTAAAGAAAATCTTATTTCAGAATATCTTATAAGCGATAAATATTATAAGCTTTACATTTAATTACAAACCTTACAATTTATTTATGTAGGGAAATAAATTTTCTCAAATTTGTTTGTAGCTCACGACATCTTAGAATTTATAAATTAAAGAAAACTTTTATGAATAGTAAAATTACGCGTAAAGTTTAACATAAATCACAACAATAAAATTTCCTAGAATATCAAGCTTCTTCGGCTCATAAACATATTATAAGCAGAGGGATATACTGAAAGTTTTTTAATATTTCTTTTGGTTTCAGGAAGCTTTTTATTGATTACATTCAGTCACCAACGCTGATTAAATCAATAAAAATTATAAGATCCTACGTTCCCCTTTTCAGGGGGTCCAGTTGGCATTCATTCAATTTAAAAAGACGACACGACTACATAAAGCTTTCCTACTCAATGATTCTTTTTTTTTTTAAAAAAAAGAGAGTTTTTAATCTGATGGAACGTCCAACCAAATCTCCAGACCTGAACTTTAAAGATCCTTTTAGAGACACTTTGAGGAGGGCGACTGAAACTCGCAGTTTTCTAAGTGCTCCTAACACGCTCTCTTATAGTTCAGGTCTGGGGGTCTGACTGGCCTTTCCTTCCAAACTTCAAAAAATTTATTGACCAGATAAACTCCTTGTATTTGCTCGTTGTCACCCGTCTCAAGTCTGAGAACAGCGCTCTGTACGAGTCTGCGCAGTTGACCTTGGAACATTTAATCTGTCATATTTCGAGCATGAATTAAAGCTGAATATTTGTAAAAGAAAGCAACCATTTTTTTCGTTTGTTTCTGTTGCCTTTGTTATCTTCTGATTTCGACGAGTGTTATGCACGCTTATACATATGCGTTATATATATTTCGTGGTCATTTAATTGTATAATCAACCTATGTCCATACCAAATTTCATAAAAAAATTTCCAGTTATTTCTGGAGTTAATCAGACAAGATCTGATAATTCTTGAACACCTGTGTATATAGATTTGAACTTGCAGTATTTTTCTTAAATGCTTCTTAGTGGAAATTAAAACTGGTTATTTGTTATCAAGTGTCTCAGGTTTGACATTAGATTATGAATATTGCCTTACCTTAAATACATTTCATAATAAATTACATGAATGATATTAAACCGCTGTGGTAAAAGAAATTTCCAAGCAAGGCCATTTCATCGGTTCTGCCATGGAACAGAATTATTGATTTTTATACTATTATTAGTTTAATTCCTCAGAGTTATATAGAGACAGAGAGAGTGCACGATTAAGTGTTTAACCACTGTTAGATGCACTAAATCATGTAAGCTGTAGTAGTAGCCTTTACTGTTTAATAAATGTATCAAATTACTGTTTTGAACATAAATATACCATGTACACTATGCAAGAAATAAGGGCCTTGTCACCCACAAAATTTTATTCCAATAGAATGCTCCCTAGTCTTAAGTTTTCCTCTTAAAATTTTATTTTAAGACTCAACTCAGGAGTATGTTATTTTTAGTACGCAGCTCCTGAATTTTTAAGATAATAACAATATCGCAAAAAAAATATAGAGGAAAATAAAAAAAAGAATATTTTGTAATCAGTGTGAAAGAGATTTCTTCCCTCAAAAGTGCAGTTACAGGCTCTGCCTCTGGATGATTAAATTATAATAAACATTAAAATAAATAAAATAATTCTTGTGTTATAGAAATAAAGATGACAACCATATAAAATATCCACTAATGTAAACATTATTGAAGTAATCGCTGTCTTTATTGTACATATAAATAAATTATGTTTGATAACAAAATTCATTTATAATGTATAGTTAACTATAATAAAGTTAACATATAAATTATGCAGGCATATTTGTATAGTTTTTTTTTTTTTTTAAATTTCATTCTGTTAGTCAAAAAAATGCTTATAAAAAATTGTATCTTTAAATCATTAATAAATATGACAAAAAACAAATTATTTACATTTATTTATAATATGGCGATACAGTAATTTTACATTATATACAACAATCAGATGTATATGCAGATTTCTGAGTTAAACAATATTAAAGAGAAAAAAAATGGAAAGAATGATAAAAACATTTAAAACAAAGAAAATTTAGTTGAACTTTTTTAAAATGGATCTCAGAAGTTTCTAAAGATGTTGGATAATAAAATAGACTAAATTCTATCTGTACATCACAATAGAAAAATTTAGTAAAAAAAATAATAATAATAAATTCAAATTTATTTTAAGACTCAACCCAACTAATTTTTGGTTTGCCTGAGTAGAACTAGGAACACTTAATTTTTGCAAGCAATATTCAAAGTTCATTTTTAAAAATTTATCACACACAAACTTTACTTCACACAAAAAAAATCGATAAATCAAAATTATTTATATGCTTAAAAATTATACTAATATATTAATAACATATTATTGTAACACATGTATTATAATATATATTACAGATGTTATTTGTTCACATATTATATTAATAATATATTTTGGTAACATGCATTACCCATGTCTGTTCTAACCCATGTCTGTCTACCACTGAAGAAGTTAGTTCATTGTAATTTTTTGTTTTTAATTTCATGCCAAAGGTCTATTCTCAACTTTCCATGTCGCGAAGTTGTTGCAAAATTTCGTCTTTTGATGGTTCATACTCTATAGGAGAATATCTTGATTGTAATAGGATTTTTAACCATCCAAACAACCCCTTTGTAATTTGGCAAAGCAAAGGAATCGATCTCACCTCCGTTATTGCTCATGGCTCCATGGAGATTCTGAGATGGCACTATATTAGAAAACAAGAGAACTTCTAGTAAGGCAATGACTTTGGTCAAAATTTATATTCTACTTCATTGTACTTTTCTACCTTGTTAGCATTGTTGTTTTTCCTTTTGTATTTCCTTGACATTGGAAATAATTTTTTTTATGCCAAATTGATTTACGAACTATTTGTAGTAAAATATTCATTTAAATATAATGAAGCACAAAAAAAAAGAAAAGAAATACCTATTTCAGAACAGTAATAACAATATAGAAACATTTTTTATACAATATTTCAGGAACAATTTACTTCAACTTACTGATCTAAAAACAAAACGTTTAAAAAGTTTTTTTGTGAATAAAGCAAATAATTTTTTTTACATAATAATAAACATAAATTAAATAAAATTACTTACATTAATGACTAAGTAGAAATAACCAATTTATAAACATTTAAACTGGTTAATGAATTCAACTAAAAGTATTATCAAAACACAATTAAATGGTAACTGAAACTATACAGTCACAAGAAGCATGTAATACAGTTAAAGAAGAGAGCTGTCTCTAACTGTTTCTACTTTGGAGTTCAATTGAACAAGTTCTCAGCAGTATACTAGTTTAACTTATTCCAAGCAATATATGAATTCAATTTGTTCCCAGCAATTTACTAGTTCAATTAGTTCTCAGCAATTAACAGACCTTTTTTTTTTATAAATTATGAGTTTAAACTATTAGATATTGCTCTCACAGCTTCTTATGACACTGTTGTTTAGTTTAACTAGAATGTTTGATAACACTTTTTTGAATGATAAACAGACCAAATAATGAGTCAATTTATAAATAAAATCATGAATTATGTTGGATTCTCGGATACAATAAATCCCTCTTCATCGAATATAAGATTAGACGAATCCTCAGTTACTTCTTCCTCCTTCTCAATATTTAATTTACTCTCTTTTTCAATTAATTCAAGAGTCCATTTTAAATCCTCCTCCCAGAGTTCTTGTTCAGTAGGATTTATGTGAATCGCTTTAGAAAAGCTTATTTTTGCCTAAAATAAAAACAAATAAATTACTCACTCAAATGTCTTGTATGATTTCTGCATTTTACATTCCATTTTAGGATAACGAAATTAATTTTGCACCCTCTTCCTCTCGTTTAGGTCAAGGTCAGGATAGATAGGAAATAATTTTCTCAGTGTAATAAAGGTATATACCCTTCAGTACCGGAATTCACAAAATAATTTCATTTTCTGAATTTCAGTAAACGATATAATTAACTGAAATAATGGGATAATTAAAATATAATAAAAAACTTTTGAGAGCAATATTATGAGTGTAATTACTTCTTGAATATTAAATTTTACTAATTTGCGGTAACATAAAGTTAAGCATTTACTTACTAATTGATGCAATTTAATTATTAAGAATTGATTTGTTAATGTGAAACTTATGCTGCTAATCCCAGACTGCAAATTTTATTTGTAATTTTCCTTAAAAATAAAAATCTCGCTCATTTTGTAGGTTAAATAAATTTGTACTAAATTTAAAATAGTAATTTTTGCTGATTCAGATTTTATACAAAACTGTGTCATATTGCTATTTTCTTGAATTTAAATAAATAAGCAGTGAGATAAATTGTTTGTTTCGTTTTTTGACATTGTCAATTTTCTTTTGAACAGCTTAATTAATTTAATTTTGAACAGCTTCTTTAATTTCTTATAAGAAATGAAAAGATGAATATTAGTTTAAGATGACAATAAAAGATAAATAGTATTGTTTATATTTTTGGATTTCTCACGAGTATTTCTTGACCAAGGCAAAGTAATGTAATTTAGAAAACTTATTTTAAATTAATTTTTTCATCAACATAATCAATCAATTGACTCATCATGATGCATTGGTACGGCTTTGCTAAAGAAGTAGCAATAATACATATCGCTTAGCTAATGCTATACTTTTATTTTAATCACGTGTCTAAGTCAATTAATACGTGTAATTACTATACACTTTAATTAATTTAACTTGATAACTCTTCCAACGTTTACAAACGAAGTCAAATAATTTTATATTCCAATAAGCCCTATTTAAATAAGTAGAACCAATTTAAACAATCACTCACTTAGTTAAAAAATTATAAAAAAATTTAAGAATATCAAATTAACAAAATAACTCAAATAAATTGAATTATTCTGTTGACTTCAGGATCAGTTTGTCACAAGAAAAGATAAAAAAATCTCTTTTTACTTTTAAAAAACTAGTAATATGTTTGGTAAAAGCTTTTATTCACTTACATTTCAACTTATAATAAAAATAAGATAAAATGTAAATAAAATTATACATTAAATAATTAAATTATTTTAAAATGTTAAACATTGAATAAAATTTTTAAAACTGAAATTACAAACCATTTTGAGATCACCAATTCCTAATTGAGAACGACCTAAGGTTTGATATGCAACCCACCAACAAGGGTTTAGTTTCACAGCTCTTTCTGCTGATTGCACTGCAGGAAATGGGTGACTCTGTTGTAGAAGTGCCTGCATAAATTTATAAGAAAACAATTGTATTTTTTTCTTAATAAACTAATACATATTTTAAAACAAGTTACGAAAAGAAGAAAAAAAAACTGAAATTTTTACGAAATACAGAAACATAAAATAATATAAAAATGGAAATATAAAAGAAACTTAAGATTGTAAATATTGTGTGAAGAATTGATGCACTTTGTTGTTATTATTTCAGATTAAATAGTATTTCATAATGGTAATATTTTAAAAGTAATGCTGACAGACCAGTTATAAATGTATTAATATTTTGCCACAATTTTGAAGTTACTCTTGGTCAATAAAACATATAAAAGCAAGAATGGGTAATTTAAGATGTCTTTGGAAAGTTTTAACAACATTTATATTTGTTTATAAATAAATTGCTAATTTATAGAAATAATAATATAATTACTCAACTTCCAGCAGCTGTTTTGAGTTGAAAACTGACATGGGAAATTTTTTTTTCTTCATATTTTATTTAAATTAGAATATAAGATGTTTAATGTGGGATAACATTGAAAGAAATAATGGTTTAAAAAGTTTCTTTACTTTGAACACTTTCCAATTAGTAGAACTCAATATCATTAACAGAATTTTATTTTGAGAAAAAAAAACTTTTCAACTTTCTTATTTTGAAAAAAGAAATAAATAAATAGCAGACATATTGGAATAAATAGGTCAGTCTAAAAATTCGAGTCCAGAAGTGTGTTTATGGTAGTAGTAGAGCAGTACTTTATTTATGTAAAACTAGAACTACATAATAGGATATTGGTTATGGACTGGGAAATATCCCTGAGAATTATTTGAAGAGATGCCATAATAATTTTGATCTTCTGCAGACAGGATGGTTCCCTTGCTTTGGTAACCCTGCGACCTGCACACATGTTTATGGAATAGATTTCCTGGTTGAAAGCGTCACAATAGTAGAAAATCATATTAAAGAAAGTAGACTGCAATAATTTAAGTACTTGAATGCAGGAATGTAATATTTTTTTCATTGCTTCTTTTTAAAACACTCAGAAATATTTAGTAAATTTTATTAAGAAAATGTACACTTTTAATTTCATTTTTAAATAATAAATTAAGATATTTTTACTCCTAATCAAAATATAGTTTTGCTGATTTATATACTTTTCCATACATTACATAAAACTGTATTAGAGATAAAATGTTTGAAATTAAAAGTATAAGTATTAATCAGTCTGCTATTTAAGAATCAAGTAAATCAAAAGTAGGGAAAAAAAGTTTTACTTGAGCCTTCATTTCATGTAACTTTTCATTTTTTGGTAACAAGCTTAAAGCTTTGTCAAACTCTGAAACTGCTTCTTGTAACCTTAAAAGAGAAGGGGTAAAAAAGGTTATTATTTATAAAAAGAAATCAACTAAGAATATTTAGCATGTAATTAATACACTATAACATACATTAATTTTCCTGATAATATGTTTATAAACAAATAAATAATGCACATTGGCAGTTTTTCTCCCAGCTATTTTTAGCACTTCAATAAGAAAATATTGGAAATAAGTAATACTTTAATGTATTCAGATTATTTTGAGATTGAACTCTAAAGCTTACCAAAAAATTTCTTAATTTACACACAACATAAATATAAATTAGTTGTTTCAAGATCTGAATAAAATGAAAATTATAAAACAATTGAATAATTTTATTAATTTTTTTCAAAGAAAATATGCATATTAAATGAAAACAGAAAAATGGATAAAGTCAGAAATCAATTTGGACTGAGGTGGAGGATTTAACTTTAATTTCAAAATAAATAAATGAATGATAAATCTTTTTATTACGAGCAGCTTATTGCATTCTCAAGAAGTGAAATTTTGTTATTTTAAAAATAGACCAGTAAAAAAAACAGGCATAAGCAAAACTTACTCCAATCACTCTATTCTTTTGCTTAATACCCTTGATAAAAGCTTTAATTAAAAAAAAGAACAATATAATAAAAACAATATTAATGAAGTAATGTAAATCGCACACATATATTATAAATTTTTACCGTAAAAATTTAATACAATATTTAAAAATTCGGATTACTTCTAGCTTTTTTTCCATTCCATATATTAGTAACCTTCATTTGAACAATCAACAGGCTAAAAACTTCTTTAAGAAGAGAAAAATTAAAAAATGTAGAGAATTATTTTCCTTTTTCTTAAATAAAAATTTAAACAATTTGTATAGAAATTCTAAATCACCATTATTGGCCTTCTACAGAATCTTTCTCTATGTTATTCTCTTTTTCACAAAATTGAAACCAGTTATGTTTATGAAACTTAGTTAATAGAATCAAGCCATAGAATTTTTGCTCAGTCTCCAGTTTTTTTACAAATTAGTTAATGTTTGAAGATTTTATGTGTTGAGTTATATGAATCTAAACAGTATGTGCTGCAAATCTCATTCTGGATACCTTGATAAGATTCATTACTTGTCATTATTTATACTAGTCATAATATACATAATTTATACTTATTATATATTTTAAACTTTATTATTATTATTATCTTACGTCATTGCCATTATTTTTGAATGATTTTTATAAATTGAAAATATATAAAACACATTTATATTTTAATTTTTCCTATAATTTATAAGCAATTTATAATCCGTTTTCAAAAATAAATCGTTGCTTTGCTGGAAATAAAAAAGAAGTTTAAACTAACTTGTTTATAGCATTAAAATAAGCTTTTTAACATGAAGAAGAGGGGGTATTTTAAAAGTCAGTTACTTGTTTTGTTGGGCTAACTCAATCCCTTGATTTTTATGTGTTTCAGCTTTCGCTTTACGGTTTGCCTCTTGATCTACTTTTCTGCGCTTATGACTTTTAATCCATTTATCATCAAATGAGACTTCAACTTCTGATTCAGCAGAAAAGTTCAAAGATGTTTCTTTGGAAATGTTTTCTCCTATTTTTCTTTTCCAACTGAATGTTGTCATACTCGACAGTCTAGAATATAAGTAAATGAAAACATGGTTCAATACATATTAATAAGAACTTTCATGAAACATTATTCAATTCACATTAAAAAATACAGTCTGAAAGTGAAGACATTTTTTTGGTATTCAGCTATACATATGATTGTTAAAATATTACATTAATTGAATAATAATCAAGCGATCAAAAAACACAAACTTGTTTGTTTATAAAACGTAGAGTTGCCAAACCAGAGAATCAAATTATAAAACTTTGCAAAAATCCTAAAAATAAATGAATAACAATGCTCTATTTGCTTTAGGATATAACTTTAAAGCTAAAAATATTTTATAAAATTCAAATTTTAAAATTAGTTTGAGAAATTAAAATTTTTTGTAATATCTGGCAATGGTTGCATCATTTTGCGCTATAAAACTGATACAAGCGCAACTGCCTTGAATCTTCTCAGCGTTTGAGTTTAATCCGCTGTTTGTAACTCTTATACTTTTTAAACCATTTTCGAACGAACCTTTTAAACTTTGTTTCTACTCCAATTTTTGGAGGACACCGATTCTCCCTTCTGCTCCTTCTCTTTTGCTTTTACATAATATTTCGTGTGGAAGGTCAAGAATACATGTGAGATTAAAATATTTGTAAAACTTATTAATTTTGTACCTTTTGAACTCCTTTTATAATAAAAAAAATATGTTTAATTTTTCTTCTCTGTTTATTCATTTGATTTTAGTACATTTATTAAGAATCATTAGAACAATTGTTTAGAACATTGCCGGTATAGATATATGGGCAAATTTTATTTCACTTTTAAATTCTTGAGGTGTTACAACCTAGTGACTAATATTTAAATCACACTTGAGAAGCTTATTTCTTCCGACGCGGGAAATAAATCATACATATAATAATATTTGTTCTACTGTGTTTCCCTAATCTTTAGAATACCATCCATTTGTATGGGTGTATATGTATTAAATTTTAACTGAAAGAGTTTTAAAGACATTACATATTCTGCATTTGGAATTTTACTATAAAGATAAGCAGTGTCATAATTTCTCCAACGAAATATCTATAATATTTTTCCTTTTATCCTTAATTGTCTAAATAAAGATATCTAGTTGCATAGTTATATTTCATTTTACTTTTGTAAATTTTCTTAAACTGGTTCAGTTCCTTAAGAATTTTATTTTAGAAGAAATTGATGTAATTCCTGTTCTATCTTAATCCAATTCATAAATTTATGTTTTTTCATTAAATTTATAAGTTATTGATGTGAGGAAAAAAAACATAAATATTTAATCATTTAAATATAAAGCCCTATGATTAACCAATCAATAAATTATGCTTAAATATTTTGTAATGAACTCTTAATGTAGTAATTCAGAGCCATGCAATTAATATTATTTGGTAAGGATTTCAGTATTCTTGGTCTAAATTATCTCCAAGTTAAAGGTAGTTAGCTATTATAAAGCATCTGTAATATTTGAGAGACAATTTTTTAAGTATCAATGAAAAAAGTATTTTTAGCTATGTAATAGTGTTTAAATTTTCATTCAGTTAAGTGTGGGGACGAAATTGTAACTATTTATATGTGTGTGTATTAGTCTTTTTTGTGAACATTTTTCTATGTATGTTTTTTTTTCTAAATATATATCTATTACTCAATCAATTTTCAAAACAAAAATCTAAAAATTAATATTTTTATGACTTGTGTTCTCAACACCAAATTTTGTCATTTAGTGTTGAGATAAATAAAATAAATTTTTGTGTTATCAACACCAAAATTTATTTTATTTGGCCTGACATTGAGTGACTAAAATTTATCCTTGTCTTAGAATTTGCAGGATATTGTTTATTATATTTAATTTATTATTTTTTTAAACTATTCTTTTAGAAATACAATGGCTGATCGCTCAAAGACTTCACTTGAAAGGCCTGATATAGATTTTGCAGAAGAAAGTACACTTCAGAAACTTTCAAGGAAAACTAGGGATAGTCCAATGATGGTAGCTGGTACGGTATATTTATTTTATTTATCATTCCCAGATTCTTTATTATATTGTAATGAAATTATGCTTCTACTACTACTGCTTATGTATGAAATGCTTCTTTTTGTTCGATTTTAAATTATGTTCTATTCCTTGTTTTACTGAGTATTTCGTTTAACATCGTACTCATGTCCTTAAGTACAGTATAGCTGTGTTTTGTTTAGCGTCAACTAATTCTTTTTTTTCTTTATCTTTATAAAAAGCAGTTTTGAACTTTAATCTGAATTGTTCATATCACTTGTGCAATATACATTTTGCTCATATGAAAAAGAAAGAAAGAAACTCCTGTATGTGAATAGATTCCTATTGGTGACTGTAGAAAAATTTTTTAATTTAACAATATATGTTCCAATTTAGTGCTGAACTAAAACGGTTTGTGTGAAAACATTAAAAAATTTTAGTACTTTTATTTATTTATTGTTATGTGAGAAATAATTACCTTTTATGAACATTTTTTTCCACCTTACAATTTTTTTCTTTTGTAAGAATAGAACATAATATAAAATTTTTATTAAATAATTTGTAATGAAATTGAAGTAACTTTTGTCTTATAAATTTATTTCTATAAAAAACTCAAATTGTTTCATTGTTTTAATTTATTTCCAGAACAAGAAATTATTCCTTATGTATTTATAATGCATTTTACTCTCATTAAAAGCTAAATTTTAGCAAGCGAAGTAAATTTAAACCCTCAGCTGTAGTCTTTATAAACAAACATTAACTGCTCCAATATTATCTTTAAAAAATAAAAATGTATGTAAGTGTTTAATAATGCAAAAGCTGCAGCAACAACTGTATATTATTCTAATTGTGTAAGAAAAAGTATTTTAAACCTAATGCTTATGAATACTTTGTATTTCACTGGTCACATTATCTTAATACAGAAATGATTGTGCTCAGGAAAAAATCCGGATTTACGGATTTTTGGCTAACTGCGATCCGTAAATCCAAGGTCCAAAAGCTTCAAGAAATCATTGATCACATTTATGTCGAAAAATTAGCGATAGAATTTATGCTTAGCATCTTTTTCGTTTGTAAATATTTTTTCTGGTAGAATAATAAATGTGATTACAGATAAAAGTGAACTTATACATAATTATTCATTTAAATTATGCTACATATAAAATTCATTTAGAATTTCATGTTTTGAAAATATCAATGATTTAAATTTATAATGACATAAATTTTTTGAAATGTCTTTCTTGAGTAAAATCATTAATGATTTTACTCAAGAAATTTTCAGGATTTTTGAGTTTGGCTCAGCTATCACACCTGTTAATATCTAAAAATAATTTGACTGGTGAGTCACTACTTAAATACCTATTAATCTAAAAATATAGACCAAATGATATAAATAAAAAAAAACTAATTAAATTTACTATTGTGCAATTGGATTTATTACGCATTAAACAGGAGAAGCGAATAAAAAAATTCAAAAGTTAAGTATGTAGTAATCTATTATGGTTCTATCATCAGAAAAGTTCCGATTTCTGACAACTATGAGTTAAAAGTTTATGGGTTGTTATTTTTTTAGCCACTTGTGTTTGCATGTAGTATGTATGTAAGAAATAGTTTTTATCTTTAGCTAAAATATTGAAATTTTGAATTGTAGAATTATTGCATACTTTTCAATTTTTTGTTATTAATACTTAAAGAAAAAATAATAAAAATCAATATTAGTCTTATGCATTTTGGTAATTTTTTTAAATCATTGTTTTTATTTAAAATAAGAAAAATAATTCCAGTAGAAAGTGCAATATCCAAAATCGTTGGTACTTCGGCAAGTTTGGAAAATATATTTTCTTGGATAATAAGTATTTAAGGCAAACTATCATCAAAACATCATTATTCTATAACTAATAGACTATAATTAATATCAGTTTCAATCAACAATGTATAAATCCATGTGTTTGTGATATTTTCGGAGCTTTTGTTATAGATTTTAATATCTTGGTTTTTTAATATGCCATTCTAAGATGCCACAAATTTCAGTTAGTAATAATTTCTCGATTAGCGACGATTCCATTGTGAAATCTGCATAGTTTTGTCTATTATATTGGTAGTTATTAAATAGATTTTCGTTTGGTGTCTAAAATCTCAAATGTTTTAATAGAATTAGAATATTGTTTCGTTCAGCAAACTTCAAACAGAGCATTTTGCATTCAATTATTTTTATTTAGTATGAAATAATGTGAAATTGTTAGATTAATTCTGATTTTTTTAATTAATTATTAAATTATATCTTTCGTTCTCAATTTATTTAGTTTTCTTTTATTTTTTGTAATTTAAAATATTTCTAATTTAAATTAAAATCATTAGTTAATTATTCTTAAATTTCATAATTTTACCCACAAGACTTGTGAAAAGACTTTTTAAAAAAATGGTATATGTTGCCATTTCTTTGATTTAATGATTCAAAATATTTCAGATTTTAAAATTTTTTGTATTACTATATTTTTATTACTATATTATTGTGACTTAATTTTCCTCGTTTGTAATTCTCTCAATCTTAAGTTTAAAATTGTGTCAAATTTGAATTAAATTAGAAATCATAATATTGTTTGTTGCCTCCTATGGACAAATTATAATCTTAAATGTATGATTTAAAAAAAGAAAAAAGTTTTACATATATATTTTTTTAATTTTCCCCGTTTTAAAATATAGTAACTACATTTATATTTTAGTTAGTTTCTTTTTGCTTTCTTACTGTAATATTAATATGTTAAAAAAAAATTATTTGAAAATAAATGAATAAATTAAACTTGTAGACTGACTTATTTTTAAAATATAAATACAATTTATTTTGCTCCATACGTATTTATTATCTTTAATGTGAGGGGGGGTGGCAAAAAAATATTGTTGAAAAGCGGCACTGATCCGCCCTGGACTTTAATAGAGTATTCCAAATTGAGGCTTGTGAATCTGTTTTAATTTTTAGTGGGTCATGCCCATAATTAAATTTTTGCAATTTGAAAAAATATTTTTTGAATTTTTAAAACCTTCTGGATGTTAAATGTCATCCATGTTAAACCATTAAAAGCTGACCATTTTAACCATTAAAAACTGAAGTAAGTTCCTAAAAATAAAATAAGACATAGTTTTGTTGATACTTACACAGTAATCTTATGTTTTTTTTAATTCTTTTTCGTAGGTTTGAGTGGCTTCTTTGTTATTGCTGCATATGGCATTTACAGTTTTCGAAACAGGGGGAAATTATCTGCCTCTAATTACTTAATGCAGTTGCGAGTAACTGCCCAGGGTGCTGTAATTGGCTGTTTGACAATTGGAGTTATGAAATCTATTTATGATCATCTGACCAAGAAAAAGGATGACTCTTAAATAATTCGTTTCGAAATTTGATGTGCATAGTTGTTAATGTTTTTAATTGTTGCATGATAGGAAAATCCCTTAAGTAATTGTATATCCTTCCCATCGACCAGATTCAGATGGTGTATCAAATAGCTGTATTTAATTTATTTATGGTACAAGTGTAAATAATAAATTTCCAAAAGGAGTTATATTTTGAATTCTTTATGCATTTTTTTGCATGGTAGTCTTTCATTAATAGCTTTATTTTTAGACTATTTTTATCATTTATTTCTGAATTTTTAGTAAATTATAATAGCTATTTGTCAATGAAAACTGCATTTGTGCCATTGGATTTTTTAGATGTTGAGTTTTTGTAAACCATTGAATTGTATTAATTTGATGTTCTACTTAAAAGTGAACTAATTATAAATTATGGAACAGCAATGTAGCTTTTTATGTGATTGATGAATAGTTGTTTGTCATTAGTTTAAAGAAAATGTAAAAACAAAAATCTATAATAAAAGAAAAGTCAGTTTCTATTGCACAAAAATATTTTTCTAAAACTAAAACTGGCAATATAATTTATAAAAAATATGTCTATTTTAAGATGTTAATATTAAATTCCTTTTTTGATAATCAAAAATGCAGCTTTGCTTGCAAGTTATAAGTTGTACTTAAAATTACAAATAAAGAATTTTTAACTCTTTTATGAAATGTTATGTTATACCTAATTTGACATATTTTGAAAATATTATTTAAATGTTTCTCGAGTAAATAAAAATATATTTCTCCTGTTAATGTTATTTTTATTTTTTCAACCTACATCTCTTATAAAACAGTTTGTTTTATTAAAAAAATGTCTACGTTTAAAATTAATTAAATGCCTAAAAATTTTGAATAGTATGAAGAAAGAAAACCTCATATATCATGGTCACTTTTGAAAAATAATAACATGAATATGAATGAAATGAAATTCTTAGCAAAACTTTCTCATAAAGTATGAGTTAAGATGGAAATTATCCAATTTTTATCTGGAATACTTGGTATATTGGTATACATGAATATGAATGAAATGAAATTCTTAGCAAAACTTTCTCATAAAGTATGAGTTAAGATGGAAATTATCCAATTTTTGTCTTGAATACTTGGTATATCATGATCTATCAAAAAACAGTTTGCTTTATAAAATCTAGTATGATAAGTTCAAATTAAATTGTTGGTGTCTGGCGTAAATCACACAGAAGCAAAATTTTTTTTGCGATTTGTGTAAACTCTGATTTTGTAATGAAAATGTAAATTTGACTGAATTTAGAAACTGACATTTAAATAAAGAATTGTAGGCAGTCCTGAACGTGAAAAATATAATTTATAATTAATTTGAAGTTTTTTTCTTAGGTGTCAGACATAAATTCTTCAATTGGATATAAATTTAAGTTAAAGATAACAATTATAAATACTGAAAATTACTTTAATTTTTATCTTAATGCTATAAGCATTATTCTTTCTAATCGATTTCTCTTAATCGATTCTTTAAATTTAACTTGTCTTCTATTTCCTGTTGGGGGTATTACATTTTCCATCATGTAAATATTAGTTGAAAAATCACTAATTTTAATTTTCACTGGGCAGCATAGATGTAAAAAAACTGTATATCTTACAATTCAAAATTTTTTTTGACTATTATTAAATAAAAAAATAAATATTTACTATAATGTAATTTTTGAATGGAATTATATTTGGATAAGCGAATTTTCGAAATTAAAAAAGTCCTCAAGATGTGGTGAAATACGCAAAACTTAAAATTGAGTGGGTTGCTAAAGGTGGTCCGAATTTTTTCGCGCTGTACACATGTGTAATACAAATACATTCAGTGCATCTTTGTACAGTGCGCAAAAATAAATAAATAAAACACCTAATATTACTTTTGATCTAACGATCCGATTTTCTTTATGGCTCATGCGGATGACCTTAAAATATGCTATTTTAAGTAACAAAATCAGGTACAAAAATATACTTTCTCTTAATAAACATACCTTTTTTTCCACGGATTTGGGTTCCTGTCTCTCAAAATATGGGGGGAGGGGAGTGATCACATTTTAGACTCCTTAATGTTAAAGTTTTTGCTTATTTTACCATGCTTCGAGAATTCTTTTAAGCGAATTGAAAAATGTTTGCACAAAATCATGAAATTTGTTTATAGAATGATAATTCCATGTAAAAAAAATTTTGATAAAATAGTTATTTTTGTTGCTTCATTTAATAATAGTCGATAGAATTTTGAATTGGAAATTATAAAATTCTTTACATCGTTTTAAAAACACGACTTTTATAAAAACGATTTCTCATTATATTACTTTTGAAATTATTACTATTTTTAAAAATTGAGATACTAAGTGTAATAAAATTGAATTTTTATGTTTCTTTTTCATCTATTTTATTTTAAAGAATATGAATGGAATAATATAATTATTAAGGAATAAAAAAATTTGTATACCTAAAAGATTTGACAGCAGTCAAATTCCTGACACTTCGCTTTCTTGAATTTTGAAATCATGCTAATTAATCAGAATAATCATTTTAGAATAACTTCCAATACTATTCTATAACTTTAGAATCATTATATTTTCATCATAGATAGGACGGAAATTTAATTTTTCAGAATCAGTTAGAACAATGTAATATATTGCTTTTATTTTCCTTTTTTGAAATTACACTCTTCCTAACATTGTTTTTTTTTTTAATTAATTATAAAAGATCCAAAAAAAGTCTACTTACATGAATAATACATGAATAATTTTCTTCGAAAAAATCTCATGCCTTTTTAAGACACCACAATACAGGCTGACATAAATGCAACTGATTTAGAAATGCATTATAAAGAGGATATTGATTTTTTTAATGTTTTCATTATAATTTGATTGCTAACATTCTATTAGTAGCTGAATATCGATTTCGCATATGTATATTGATAAATTAATATTATTATTGGTAAGAAAATAATTGTCCATTTAAGTATAATAAAATGTATCTTATCAAAAATTTATTTTATTTTCATGAACTTTTGATGAAGGTGTGAGTATGTTACTTTTGATAGATAACAAAAAAATATACTAATTTTTATCGAGCAATATTTTTCATATTCCTTTGGTGATTTTTTTCATAAAATGAAAATACTTAATTAAAGCTAATTAGTTTCTCAATAAAGTTAAAAATCGATTAAAGCTATTCAGTTATTATCTTTTATATATGCTGCAAAGCAAAGTTTGTAATAAAATAAAAGTTAGAAGATGAAGAAATATTGAATTTCCAAATGATGAAATTCATTAGGAAAAAGAATTTATTAATTAATTTTAGAAATACTTTCTAAATTAGTGGTAGGCATTGTTGCACTGAGAGCCAGATGGACATCCATTTAACCTCTAAAGAACCTAAAATTTTAAATATTATAATATTTTTTCTAGAAAATAAAATTTTTTTTACGAATAACTATTTGATTGAGTCAACCCTAGGCATCCAACCAAAGCGGGCATTCAATTAGATGTCTGCATGGAACGTCATCGTAGGTAAATCGTGGCATTTGTCAGAGGCCAATCACGTTCGACACCCATTGCTTACAAGCATCCAATTAAAAAGAATTAAAATCATAAGGTTCGACATTATAATTTCACTTCTTCTAGAGCAATGTTTCCCAAACTTATGAGCTTTGTGTACCCCTTCTAAATTTTTCTTAACACTGTGTACCACTGACAAAAAAAATGAAAGTATTTTCTACTATAAAAAAAATTGCACAAAAGTTAAAAATCACAGTTGTTGACACCACTAATTGACTCTGACCTAACGCGTAACTCCCAGTTCCAAAACCCCCGGTTTGGGAACTTCGACCGAGAGTTCAAAAGCGATTCCACCATTATTTTTTGACCGTCGGTTTCTTAACTGCGAGTTACTTGACCGGCAGTTACAGGAGGTAGAGTGCATCNGCTGTTGACACCACTAAATATTAACTGTTAACTCTGCAAAAAATAGCCAATAGAAAAATACGTAATTTCATGGTTAGCTTTGTTTTTAAAATTTTCATTTGTTGCAAGATATTTCGCATAAGAACGCGCAACCCCTCTAAACTGTTGCCGTACCCCTGGGGGTACGCGTACCACACTTTGGGAAACACTGTTCTAGAGTGTCAAATATACAATAGATGACTAACACAACACCTAAATTAAATCTATAACTATTATTCTTTTCATGAACATTTTTATCAGACAAAACATTTGGCTTACACAAATTATTTTATGGAAATGAGATATGATGTGAAATAAAATATGAAAAATCAGCAAAATTTTAGGTTATGAAATTTGAAATATTCACTTTATTTAAGAATAAATTTTGATTGTTTTGTTAAAAATGGTATTATTATTATTTATTTTTTTTGTATCATAGAAAAAATTCAAAATTTATGTAAAGTTACAAACTCGCTTAAAAATTAAAACTTGAGAGGATATTAAGTATACTGGTTATAATAAATTAAAGGAAAATTATAAAAATCGCGATAACTCTCCCAAAAATAAACCAATCTCAATAAAATGTGAATGTTGTGAAATAAAAATTGCTAAGTGAAATTGCAATATGTAAATTAGTGACTCATCAATGACGACCTCTGCAATGAGCATTACATTGTTTGTTTGCTCACAAGCCTGCGAATTTCGCTCTGCTTCTAAAATTAGAATTTGAGATGGCTAATTTGTAACAGTGACCTCTGGACATAATTTATCCGAAGAACTGCAATGGAGATTTATTGGAAGACTAGAGGCAGGACAAAGTCAGATAGAAGTGGATGGCTAAATGTGAGTCCTTTACCTCGTTTGAAACTGTTTTGCAAGGTGGCTCACATTTATAACTTGTTGTTGTTGCCTCATGCCAGCCAATTGTGTTGTGTGGTTGTTTCTAATGTCACTTGCCACATTAGCAAGCCTGCGTTTGCGAAGCCGAGCAATTTTAAGGCGGAGAGTGCGTTTCTTATTTCTCAGTGGCGGCATCTATGGCCAAGAATCCGACTTTAGCCACATCGTACGTCACACCCGTTTATAAGGCGGACCCATTCATACATCCATTCATTCATTCATCCACAGATCGTAATTTTGACCTGAATCGGAGAACGATCGATCTCCAATCCAGTACCCCCAGAGGTATTGATTTGTTATGGGAACATGGAGGACTTTTCGACTCGACAGAACTTAACGTGTATTAGTCATCAACTACACGGGGAGTCTTCAGCCGGCAGGGTGTGAACCCACGAACTCTCTGACATGGGCTCAGTGCCCTACCGAGCAGGCTATCCCGGCCTCAGCCAATTGTAAATACTGTCGTGCCCACTAGCAGCAAAGCAAAGGGGTGCGCTTCTTCTTGTTTTCCAGTTGCTTTATCTATGGTCAAGAATTCGTCTTCTGCCACACACATACGTCACAGCCAGTTTTACAGGGAGGACAGATTCACTCACTATCCATCCTCAGATCGTAATATTTTGACCATGACCAGAGCAAGATTATTCTCCGATCCAGTAACTCTAGAGATATTGATTTGCTATATGGACTTGGAGGACTTTGTTATCCATACAGATTTGTCGTGCACCCATACAGTCTTCGGCCGGCGGGGATCGAACTCACGAGTTTTTGGACACTCACAACTGGTGCACTGCATAAATGAAAGCATCACACATCGCTGTACTGCTGCAAAGGGTGATCATTCTCCATATATACGAAACTTTTTCTATTACAAACTAACACTAATTTACTCATTTTATACATTCGCTTATTTCTGCAATACCATAATTGTCAGGTTAACTCTTTTTTCTTAATTTGCACATTATTATATGCTCTATAATGTGTCCCAATTTCATAAAATTCTCTGCGTAACCGTTGGAGTTATGGTCATATATAAGATGTTCCTTAATTTATGAAAACCAGAATTCATCATAAGGATTGAGAGTTGCATAGCAACCAAAGTTCGGATAGATCATTGTACGCAATACGAAGCACTTCCATCTTAAGGTCCAATAAAACTGTACTCGGAAAACAATCGCATATGCGCATATGGAACTTTAAAAACTTGATTAGCTAGTTTTACGAGGGTGAATATATTTCAACAATCATGTCCAGCAGGTCGTGAGTTCAATCCCCACCGTCTGAAGCCTTCCCGTGTTTAAAATAGTAACTGATGCATGCTGAATCTGTCGGGGTTACAAAGTTCTCCTAGTTCCCATAACAAATCAATGCCTCTTGGGGTACTGAATCAGAGATTAATCGTGCTTCGATTCAGATCAAAATTACGATCTGTAGATGGATGGATGGTGTGTGAATGTGTCCTCCCTGTAAAACGGGTTGTTGCGTATGAATGTTGTCTCCGGATCATTCTCAAGGATGTTTCCTAGACTATCAATAGCCCATTGTGCACATCAAGTGCAACGTAAATAAAAGTAAAAGTACACATATTTCACCAATCAGACTCATTCGCCTCTCCGAATTAGCACACGTGATTTTTTTCGCATGCAGCGTGATTGGTCCTTCATCTATAAAACTCGAAATTTGACTCTGATTGGTGATTGATATATATTCAATTGCGTAAAAATTCGCTAATCAGGAGCCATTATCACTGCCAGCGAAATAAAACGCGTATACGAAGGAAAACCTATCATGATTTTAATGATTAAATAAACTTCACCTGTCTGATTCTTTGTCGCATCATCGAATTTACGCACATGAATTTTGTACCCCTCACGTCAAAATTTGCATGCGATTTTCTTTTACTGTGAGAATGGTCCCTTAAATAGAAAAATAGTTATTTTTTAAATGGCAACTTCCATTATTTATTTGTTTTGATTTAGACATTTTGAAATGTCATCCTAATAAGCAGGTAAATATTTCATTTTTAAAAAATTATATTGCTAGTATTTAATCCTGAAAATATTGTACAAAACCCTAAATTTTGCTTTAAAAACTTTATTTTTTTCTTCGTCCCATTCGCTTAAGAAAGTAATGTTATTTCTGTTATCTTTGTCTTATCTTATTTCTGTAGGGCTTTTACAGATGTAACTCTAAATTAGTTTACTAATTACGTTTTTTATCCCTCACACTTCAAACTCGATTATTTATAATAAAAATAGTCTGGATTAATTTTTTTGTAGCAGTTTCATGTTAACTATTAGGTAAAGGATACCGAATGGTAATGGTATAATTAAACTTATAATAATTTAGGCTTGTGTACATTTGTATTTTTGTACTCAAACTGATAAAACATGTATTGAAAGAATAAATAAGTACCTATAGTGGTCAGTTTAGTAGGTTAAATTTAAAATAACCGACTAAGAATCGGGTATCTCAGTTTTTTTCTAAATTTTGGTGGAGATACTTTAATTCCTGATCGTCTCTATATCGAAGAATAAGGAAAGGTGTGTATGTATATATTCTCTGTCTAGATTATCAGATATGTACTTTGTGTCTGGTGCTTTAATTTATAGAACTTGATCTCAGTATAGCTATTGAAGCACAAATGCGTTAATAAATTTTCATCACAGTGGGGTTAGCCTGTTTTTTCAATTTTATCATTATATATTTGTATAGTAAGTTGCTGAAAATTAATTTGATACATATAGAATATTAATGTCTTGTTGTGCTGTGTATAAGGCATTTTTTATTCTGACTTTTTATGTAATCTTTGTATTTAAAATAGGTTTTGATTACTTTTTTCTTACCAATCTTCATACGTTACAAGCTTTTTATAAATTTTTTTATTTTATTAAGTGCACTTAAATTTATTTATTTAGAAAGAATAAGATACATCTTTTTAACTGTACATTATTACTAAGAATAATCTCATTGGTTTTAAAATGAAAATTTGTTAAATTTTTTTATAAAATATGTTATCCTATTGTTCTCAGATTATCATTTTAAAATAGTACCTACTCATGCTTTCATAGAATAATTTGCACAATGAGGTGAAGGTATAATTAATTTTTCTCATTATGTAAAGTGATTTTTTGCTCTTTGTAAGTATTTAAGGGACAAGGTCCATTTTTTTAAAAACAATTACACCTTCAGTTTTGAAGGGCAATAATCTTGCTAAATATATTAATTATATCAAGTTAGATTATTACCTTTCAAAACGGAATTCAATATACTCAAATAAATATGAGGAATAATATTTTATATTGACTTAGCCTAAAAATAATTTGAAGTAGTTATGATAGTGTGAAGCTCGTGTTTTCTGCTAATGCATTTTTTCTTAAACTAATAGAAAAAAAAAAGCATTTTTTTCTGAAAAAAATAAGTTTACAAAAAAAGGAGGGTGCTTTTACCTTTGTAAATGCCTTTATCGTGTCTTAATCAGTTTCAACTGGCTTTCCAGAACGTGGTGCATCTTTGACATCAAAATTGCCTGATTGAAATTTTGCAAACCAGTTCCAGCACTAGCGTACTGTCAACACATCTTCTCCATACACATTGGTTAATTTCTTTCTGGCATGAACAACATTTTTACCTTTTATATCGTAAAAAAGTAAAATGTGACGAAAATGCTGCTTATGTTCTCCATATTTAAAGGGGCACCAACCAAAAACTACTGTGTAGAATTAATTGAATTTTTTCACACACAAGCCCTGCTCAAAACATAAAATGATAATGCTGTTTAAGTGTGAAGTTGGATTCGAAAAAATACAATTAAATCCTGTGTCGGAAAAAACGAACTTACTTTCCGATCAACCCGATAGTTTATGGGTGTAATAGATGGCAATTACTATTTTTGGATGTGTTCCATAACATTAATTATGCAATTGTAAAATTCAATTTTTTTCTCGTTTGTCTACTATAGTAAATTCTTGGACCATTAAATGAATACTTGATCTACTTAGTTTAATTTTCATTACTCGTGTGAACCCTAGATATATGAGCATTTTAACCACATATTTAGACAGGAAGAAGGAGAACTGAGAACTTTTACATGTATATCAATCTAAAATTGTGTGATAATGAACAATGTTTAGAAAAATTTAAAGTATTGAAATGAAAATTGTTGAATGAATTATTTCAGAGATGCCAACTTGCTCCACTTAATAAAAATTTTTTTTTAGTGGTAACGAAATTTAAGTTATTTTTAGTTTAGTTTTTTTAATTCTAAGTAATTTTTTCCATCCCTGCATATCGAAAATTCAAGGAATCATATCAAATTCAACTTTATTCCAGTTATCTCATTGTGACACTTTTAAAGAGTGAGCATAATTAACCTTATTCTACAAGTTTTACTATTAAATTAGCTACCAATTTATTAAAACTTTTTCAGAAGTGTTGGCATCCCTATTTAGCAACTTAAAAAATATTATTAGAGAACATGTTTAAAAACTCTAAGGATAGGACTTAGTTGAAGCTGTGGTATTTAATAATTTTTCTTCCCTTGCTCTTCCATTTAAATTCTATGAACTATTCAATACTAAAATTAAAATTTCACTAAACTTGTAAATAATCGCAATACATTGTTGTTGCTATTATTGCGCAATGTTGGAAATTTAGGCATACATAATATAGTTTCAATAATGCAAAAATTTCTTTCCACTCTTATCACACCAGCTTATTTTGATACTACCGAATATTGTTTTAATATTTCAATATTTGGCAAATCCCTTGTTAACAACATAATTTTCTCTTCACCTTTCTATCGCTCTTAGTAATATCAATAAGCCTCTCTGTACCTGCCTGATGTGCTTCCCTTTCTGTAGTTTTAATAGTTTTTGTTTTCATTTTTATATGTTTTCATTTTTATATATTTTCATCTACATTTTCTACTTCAAATCTGTTTTGTTTTCCCCATTCATGTCTAGCAAGTCTTGAGAATGATTGCTTATTTTTTAGCACTTCTTTAATCTTTTATAATTTTTGAAGCAAATGATATTTTTAAATTACCGAGTATATCAACAATTTGGTTACAATTTATTTCATCAATGCCCATGATTTTAAATATCAAAAAACTGTCAAAATATGAAGATCGTAATATATAATAATTATCAAATTTAGGAGGAAAATTATAAATAGATTTTTTAAAATGTTCCACCTAATTGCTTTAAATGTTAGTTCAAAAATATTTTTTCAAATGTAGTACTTTTTTTCCCCTACAATAAAATTTCATTTCTTTTATGAGCATAGCATAAAACAATATGATTTTCTCTAAATATTGAAATGAGTAGAGTTAATAGCTTATTTGGAACTCAATGGTCCACATATACTTTTTATTTCATATTTTTATAAAAAAAATTACTAAAATTAAAAAAAAAATTAGATCATCATAATTTATGAGCAAAAACAAATATATGTAGGTACTACAAATTATATGAAATCTACTGTTTAAAATATGTTTCTTTGAAAAAAATTCTATAACAGTAAAAAAAAAAAAGAAAATATTTTTTTTTTTGATATGCTATATACTGCATAAGCAGAATCATCATTATTTGTTTATTTCATAATATTATATGCCAAGTTTGTAATCAGTTTAATTATTTTAGATTATGTCTGGAATAACAGGATTAGAAGTTTTATTCTCTGCAATTAAAAATGACTTGAAATCAAAAGAGGATTGTGCTGTTGCTGCAATACATTGGCTTCTTATTAGATCTGATCTATTGTGTGTGGGTGTTGGAGAACTGTTCTCTGATAATGATGTTGACAAAGTTACTGAACTTCTCCCTGACAATTGGAATGAAAGTCAAGATGCGTATTGTTTGCGCTATTGCTGTAAAGATTTAAAAAATCGCTATCTACTTAAGATTGTCAAAACAGGATGTAATTTGCATGTTGATTTTGCTATGAATGAAGATACGGTAACTGCTACAACTATTGCTACCAATGATTTTGTTTCTGATGATTTTAATAACTTTTCCCAGACTTACAAGAAACTGAATGAGTTAAAGAGCCAAGTTAAAAAAGATATTCTGAAAAACATTGTGGATGCTAAGAAAAAATCAAGTGCTTCATCTGATAAAGAAACGAAAAAGAAGGCTTCTCCAAAGAATGAACCAAATCAAGAATCACCTCAGGCCAGAATTCCTGAAAATCGACCTATTCCCGTTGGTATTCCTGATTCAAGACACCCTATGCCTTTTGCATATCCACAAATTGGAGCTAGTGATCTAGATCCCTTGGGCAGAGGTGTTGGAGGTATGTTGTTTGATCCATTTGGTCCTGGTGCACCAGCCAGGCCAGGATTTGGTGGATCTCGAGGTGGGAGATTTGGAAGTGGCAATACAGGACTTCCCCCAGGAGCTGTACCCCCTGGTGCAAGGTTTGATCCCTTTTCTCCTGTATATCCTGACAGATTTAATCCTAATCCTGATCATTTCAGACCTCCTGATTATGACAATATGTTTATGTAATTAGACAGTTCATTTTTTTCAACTATATATTGATGCTTTTTGTCACATATTAACTTTTATAAAGCCAATAAATGAGTTAAATGTTCATAATGTTGTTTATTTGAAGTATACTTCCAATTGTCAATTTTTCAAATGTTATTGCTTAGTTTGTATTTGTCTTGATTTTTTTTGATAGAAAATATTTTATTCTGATATTTAGCTCTTTGAGATAGCTCATAGATTGTCATTTAGCTCATCAGATATTACTTATTTTCTGTGTGTTTGGAACATACAGTTTTCTATGAATTTAAATGTGTATGTTAAATTAATTGTTTCGAAGAATCAAAATTTTATTTTAAATAAATTTGCACAAAAGTTTATTTTTAATAAATTTTAAATGAATTTATTTTAATTAAAAATTGCAAAATTTGGTTGGTTCAAATCTGACTGCCTACTTATTATATACATGGTTCAGGCATATAGCCTTATCAGAGGATTTATTGTTTCAAACATTTTGGGAATTCAATTATCTTACTTCTTTATGGAATAAAACTCAACAATTTTACAGTATCAAATTTTTATTGTGATGAATTCAGTAATTATCACCATGTTATCAGGGATCATATGCTTATTTATTATTTTCAGTATATGCAGTAGCAATTCTTATAAGATAGAGTTTTATAGTTTCACAGTAATTGATTTCTCTCTTTCTTCTAATTTGAAAAATGATTGATTCCAATTTTAACAACACAGTAATGATACCATAAAATATTTAAATGATGAATTGAGGTATCATCCACTAAACTACTTTTGTACGAAAATGTGTGGCAGCATATTCAATATTCATTTAAAGATTATTGAAACCCTACTTTAAAATTATTTGGCTAAGGACTTCTTGAATGCAAAGAGAGTATTAACAAATTAATATTGGTTATGTTTTTTATTGCGACAGTACTAAAAAAATTTTATATTTATTAATCTGAAACTGTTATGAATTGTTTAGTGCTCCATGAATGAAATAATATTGGAACTGTTAAGACTTTCTGTTCCTAACAAAGTAATTATGAAATTTAGTACATTTCATTATTTTTTTGTGATAAAATTTGTCTTTATTCCAGGGTTGCAAAAAAGCCCTCTTTTTTTTTAAAAAAAAAAAAAGTTCAGGCCGGCTAGGTATTATTGAAAAGACTGGCTTTTATTTAAAAAATATAGCCTCTCTATTGGCTTTTTATTGTTTTTAACTTTAATTAATATCTGTGTTTAATGTTTGCTATTACTGTTAGCTATTTATTAAAAGTTGTTAAGATATTTTGAATTAGATGTTTAATACTGTAGCAGAGTTCATAGGTTTTGTAACAGCTTTTACAAGTTCAAACTTCAATTTCTATATTCCTATCGATAGTTATTTTCAGTTTTAATTCAAAATTAAATTTAAAAGGGATCTTTTAGAAAAATTGGTTACTTTTTTTAATCGTTTTTAATAAGCACAGAAAAAGTTATGTAATATTATTTTACAATTTATAGCAATTTAAAACATAAGCATCACGATTTATTAAAATAAAATTAATAAAATATTTATATAAGTTTAAATTGTTACAGTATAGATTAACTTTAGCATTAAGGATATTTTACCGCTCTATTTTTGTTTTAACTTTTTTTTGAAAGTTTTTATTTTTTACTTTTATTTCTTAATGGCATTTATTTACATAATATGTTACAATTTTATTAATTATAGTGATTTAATATCTGCTCTGTAATACTTTAAGCATATTACGGTCAATTTCCAATTCAAGCTGCGCTTACAGTTGCTCCAAAGTAATAATTTTTTAGCCAAAATTGTGCTAAATCTTTTTGTTTTATCATTAATTTTCTATGAAACTTAATTAAAATTAATAATGAAAAGATAATTGGTTGTAAAAGTTGGGAAATTGATTCTTATAACCCCCTTACACTTATAAAGTTTAAAGCTAATTAAAACTTTTATTCTTAAACTTTTAATCTTAACTCTAACTCTTCACTAACTCTTACACTCTCTCACTTCTCTAACTCTTCTAACTCTAATTCTTAACTCTTAACTCTAATTCTTAACTCTTAAACTTTTATTCTTAATTTTTTCAAATTAAGAAATTTTGAAGTGGAAGTGTAAAACTGCCATTTCATATTGTTTCTACCACTCAATTAACAACATTGCTGTAATAAATTAATAACATCATGGATCTTATGTTTTATCTCAGATTTTGAAAAATGTTTTGTTTTAATAAAAGCCAGTCTCTTTATAGTTGTTTTAACAAAACCAGACTGCCTTTTTATGGCCTGGCTTTAATACTGCAACCCTCTTTTATTCTTAATTAGAGGACATTATGCAGGGTGGTCCCGAATTCATGGTACAAACTTCAATGGTAGGTACAGGACATTGTAACAATGATTTATTGTATAGGAATGTATAGTCGCAAGTGACGTGGTCAGGCGTAAACTGGAGAAATAACGGCCGAAAGGAAAAACAAAGATTTTATTGAAAGCGTTGTTGACAAGTGTCATGTTTACAGTAAGTGTTCAAAATTGCGTCCACCAGAATCGATACATGCTTGACAACGTCGGTGGAGCCATTGGCGTACACGTTCAAAGATGCCTGGTATTTCACGCACACCTGCAGCAGCTACAGATATGCGAGCGACGAGATCCTCATCTGAGTCAACTGGAGTCTCATAAACAAGATGCTTTAGATGTCCCCATAAAAAGTAATCGAGGCTCGATAAATCGGGAGATCGGGGTGGCCAAGGGATTGGTTCACCACGCCCAATCCATCGAGCACCAAACTGCACACTACTGCCCTCTACCGACAATGATACCAACCGATCACTCCATTTCTCTTTCCTTTTCTTTCCCCTGTTTACGCCTCACCGCGTCACTTGCGACTATACATTCCTATACAATAAATCATTGTTACAATGTCCTGTACCTACCATTAAAGTTTGTACCATGAATTCGGGACCACCCTGTATATAAATATTTTTCATTTGCTCATTTTATAAATAGTCTATCATCCTACAGTTCCAAAGAAAGCTTGATTTTTTATGAAAAATGTTATCCTGATTTTTTCTTTGACCCATTTCAAAGCTTGTTATTATTTAGTTGAGTTAAACTTGAAAGTAACTTCTGTTACTTTTGGTTGCACTTGTGATCTTTGGTGCAAAATTTTTAACTATACTGATCTAAATCTACAGTCTAAATAAAAAGGTTATTTTTATTAAAAATGCAAGAAAAAATATATAAAAGCAAGAGCTTTTTTTCCCTCAAAAAGTTATTTTAATAGTTTGTTTGCTTCAAATATGCGTGAAAAAAAAAGTTTTGAGTCTAATGAATGCATCTTCAAATCACTCTCATTGATATTGTTGTGAAACTTCCAATAAATGAAACATTTTAACTGGAAAGCATAAAGTAATTTTTATTAACTTGAGAAAAACTACTTTATATTGTTTCAAAAATCATAATTTTTTTTAATTATTTAAGTTTAATTTTTGCTTTTTATGAATGCGTCTTAACTAGTGAAAGCAATTCCAAATTGTATTTTCAGGGCTAAAAAAATCTGTAAAAATAAAGAATTAAGAGTGAAACCGTTATAAATCGTTTTATTACTACTAGTTTAAATCAAATTGCCTATTTTTTAAAAAATAAGTATACAATGGAGTTAAAAGTAATTTATTTTTAAAAATTTATTTTACTTTCGATTGAGAAATTGTTTTAAAAAGCCTCTCTAATTAAAACTTTTTAGGTTGAGAAGACATATTCCAGCCACAAAATTTCAAATGAATTAGGAGTATTATCTTATCTTATACCATTAAAGTGAATTTTAATCCTGAAATTTCTTATGTAAATGAATGACTAAATCAATTAGGTAACAAGAATTCAACTGATGGAAGTGTAGATCAATCAAATTTTATTTCATATCTTAGTGAATTTTAAATTGTAAAAACAGAGAAATTTTTTTTAAACGAAGCACATTAGAGTGGCCCTCTCATTCCACATGCCTATGGCTAAAACCAGTATTAATAATTAACTTGTAAATATTATAACAGGGGTTAAAAAGATACCTTATGAAAATCATATTTATGACTACTTTACTTAATTTATTAAGTCTATTAAAATAAGGTAACTGCCTTTTCATAAGCTGTAATTATTTTCTACTGGTTTTTAAAAAAGAATTTGGACATTGAATATGTTGAGTTCTGTCACATATTTCAATGTTTTGAATTGATTTTAATACTTTTAGAAAGAAGTTAATTAAAATCTGGTGTTTAAGTTTTTTTCCCCCTAAAGCACCATTTTTGAATAAAGTTGCTTACATTTTAATGATAAATTACCCATTAGTTCCTAAGATAATGTAGGAAAGAAACAAAATTTTAGACGACTTAATTATTTTTTGGAAGTCTGCTGGTATAAAGTTTTAGCCAGCTTGGTTGGGTAAAATCCAGTATATAATGAAATAACTTTAAAGTTTTTTTTTTCTTATGAAATATTCGTTTATATCATAAAATACATTCTACACTTCAGAACATACAGGCGATTTTAAGTTCATATTTAACTTTTAGTAAATTACGTTATTTTACCAGACTCGATGATTTCATAAAACTTAGACCTCGGTTTCTCTGAATTGATATAGGCTTCATGTGTGCATCCTTTACAGTTCAGGTACTGTATCCAACTGCTCTTGGGATTTTGTAGACCAAAGTCGGTATTTTTAACCTTTAATGTTAGACGATTTTGTTCGATGTACAATATCTCGCTTATATACCGTAGCGCTATTTAACAGAAAAAGAGATAGAATATTTTAAATAAAATGTATTGTAAAATTCTTTTTAATACTTTAAAATAATATCTAAAAGTGTGTTATCAGATGTTAAAGTTGCCGAAAATTAACTTTCAAGCTATTCATAACTATAGTGTAAAATAAGTGGTGTAAAACTCAAAACTTTTCTAATCAAATTTTTCAAAGCATTGGCTTAATATTGCTAACTGCAAATCTTAGTTTTTCCTAAATTATTTAATGCGAGATTGTATTTTTATAATATTCTTTAATGTATATTATAAAAGGACTTGAAATATGCTATACATTCAACATTATTTGGAGCTGGTATGGCACAGTGGTTTAGTGACTGAAGATATTGTCATTGTGAAGAATCTGGATTCTATCCGAAACAGCGTTTTGAAGCTCAAATAACTTCAGGTTGATCGATACCAGCTCACCAGGAAAATAAAGGTAGCCACTGTGTACAAGTCTTCAGGCTTTAGAACAATTACCGTATAGTCTGGCGCAGCATGTCCTCATTTGGACTTTGTGCCACTAAACCCTACATTCAATCAATCAATCAATGTACAAGTCTTCATATTGCACCATCACTCAGTTGTTCTCAAGCTCTCTGATTTGCCTTGATTGTCAAAAAAAGGTACTATTTTTTTTAACACACTATTTAATACAAAGCATTTTTTCACAGGTACAATATGAAAAACTTTAAAACTATTGTTAGGAGTAGTTTATAGTATCTATTTTGAGAGAAATTAGCCCCTTTTTTTTAATCAAATTTCATCAAGTTATTCTAGCAAAATGTGAATTTTGAAATTTATTTTTTACATTTAATGCACATTTTTTGTTTTTGTATTTTCTTGATAAGTTATTGCAACATAAAAAGTTTGTGTTTTGAACTTTTATTACCAAAGATAATACATCTTTTCTTCAATACAGATTATATACTCATATGTACACACACATTATTTACAACCAAACAAAAAAATTTCTCATTCACAACACTCAAAATTACCTATTTGTCAGATAAGATAATTGCATTTTATGCAGAGTATCGATTTTATACATATAATTAGCTCAATTAAAATGATTGTCTATTTTAACAATACAAATGTTTAAAATTTTTTGATATAATTGAATCTAAAAATGACATTTGGTTTAATACATTATATTAAATATGTAGGATCAACACCAAAATAAGTTAAAATAATTAGTTACAGAAGAATTTCTATAGTTTAAATTAAAAATTAGCATCTTCATTGTCTGACATTTTAGTTCCAATGACATAAATATCATTTATCAAAACATTAAATAGGTAACACAAAANAATAAGTTAAAATAACAGAAGAATTTCTATAGTTTAAATTAAAAATTAGCATCTTCATTGTCTGACATTTTAGTTCCAATGACATAAATATCATTTATCAAAACATTAAATAGGTAACACAAAATATCAGTTTCATATTACTTACAAATATAATAATATTTCCTTAACATTTCTAATGCTTGTTCTAATCAAAAATTGCGAATAATATTCTGATTGCACATTGATATCACATAAATTTTCATCGCCAACTATATTTTTGATGAAATTGGAACGTTTTACGTCCATCCAACGTTGCAGGATGCTATCCGTATCATCAGAATCATCAAGTATTTCTAGAATTTTCGTCAAGTCCCATAAAAAGCATTCCATCAGCGTTTTAGTTTGAGATAAAGAGACAGCTTTTTCTTCTGAAAGAAGTGCAATGGCCATCTCAAACGATTTTCTTGCAATATCAGATGAAAATTTAGAATCTGATAATGAGATGAACTCATCAATTGACTGTATCCCAAGTAGTTGAAAAAGCAGCATCAGTGCATATTGACACAAGGAAATCTTACAGGAATCTGATACATAATCATTTTCATCGTAGCAATTGTCTGATAAGAATATCAAAGTATTATATTTATCCGCTTTCGTTTTGGCTAAGATTAAGTTTTGAAAGCTGGAGTCAATGGATTCTATGCCCTGTGCCTGAAGAGATTTCAGTGAATGTATCAGTTGCAAAATTATAAAACTAAGTTCTTTCTCGTGTTCTTCAGTGAGGGTGTTTGGTAGACCTTCAGTAAAACATTCAATTGTGGTAATATTGGATCTATCTAGAACTAAAATTGTTGCCTGCATCGATTCCAGTTCTGCATCACCTGAGCTGTCTAAGAGTTCTGGAGGAATACAATCTACAAATTGACCAAATACTGGGTATTTGAAATCACCACTTTCATTTAATCTGTTATGCGCTTGCTGGACAGTTACCTGAAAAAAAATTTAATTTAAAAATCAGAAATGGAAAAATTCAGAGTAAGAATGCAATAAACAAATGCAGATTTAGAAGTATAGTGGAAACCAAATTTTAAATTTTTTTTACATTAGATTATTAGCGATAAAAAAGTATATTCACACTTAAGAGATGAACTAACAGAAAAAATCTGATCTTTACATGTTTTTTCTTTTAGATACAATTTTAACAATATGCTTCTCAATACTTACTATTATTTACTTTATGGTTTACATTCGCAAATGTTTTAGAGTTTTTATGCTTTTAAACTCTTAATCAGTAGTGGGTATATCCTCCAATATTATTTAGTTATCGTCATTGTTTTCATCACTATCATTGGGAGCAAGCATTAAATCAGGTATTGAAGTAATTGAAAAGTAATGGGATGCGTGTTGCAATCGGTATACTCTTCATCGACTTTGGAAGATCTTCACTTACACAATTTTATTCTGAAGGTCTAATATTCCCATTGGGTACCGCGACGCAGTTGACCCAAAGAAGCTTTATTAAACCAATTTGTAATGAATTTTAGTAGACATTGACCAACTCTGTAGAAATTAAATTCAGAGCTCCCAGAACATTTACTTTTGCTTTAGAAGCATCTTGCAAGTTAACGGAATCAAGAAAAATAAATTACCTAACCAGTTGTTTAGTGTAACGTTCTTCAAATGATTTGAAAGTTACAAGACTCAAATATTAAAGTTTGCTGGAAAAAATTCCACTCTTAAATTTTACAATTTAAACTTCATTAACAATCCTTCCCATGCTTTGCCCGTACTACCATTCTTCTGATTTTGACTCGAGGGGAAATCTCTTCTCATAGACTAAAGTATAATATGAAAGAATGTGTTAGAAAAGCTACAAACAGCAAATAAACCAGTCTATTAAAACAGAAAAAGTTTGTGCAAACTTTGTAGAGAAAAAATGATTCTGATCTATTAGAAAAAATGTATAAAAGCAGGATTTTCTCAAAAAGAGTAACAAACTCAGAGATAATTTAACGGTATCAGAATAGGCAATTTTCCTGTACTAGCAGAAAATGACATAGGAAGCGGAATAGCATACGAAACAGACAACTTAAAACTGGGGTTTTATATTGCTTGTTATATTGACAATGAGTTTCATATCACATCAGGAGATTAATGCTAGCACTGCTTTATCGCTCTTTCAGACTATAGATAAGTGTTTCTTCTCGTCTTTCATGAACCATTGTTCATTTAATGCAAGGATTGATTGGAAAAAAATTACCAATAGTATACAAACAAATGTAAGAAGTGAAGATTCATACTTTTCAACCACTCTTCTACTTAATCAGTAAATTTAAAAAAGTATTTATCGGAATTTAGAACAAACTTGAGCCAGTTCTTGGTAGGAATGTCCGATGGGAATCTTCCAGATAAGATTTCTTCCAATTTCAGAAACAGGAAATTGTCTCTGGTTTCCAAATTTTTGACTGTATCTTATGGAGTGGTGGCTTCAGACTTCCCACTTGAAGTTTTGTACCAATGCTTTTACTTTGTAAGCACTATGGTATCCTGGTATTGTATGCTTGAGGATGATGCCCTTACTCAATGTGCCAGGACATTTCTTCCAGGCCACCCCAAGCAGCCTGCATTTAGTACCCACTGACTAATAACTATTTCCAAAAATGAAAATTATCTAGAACAAGATTATCACCAAACAGAATTAGGGAAACAGATGCAGAGAATTGGCTGCCCTGGGCAGTACCAGGATTTCCGCTAAAAAGGGTTGAACAAGTTGGTACTGTGCTCCAATAAATGCCTGGATAGTCCCGATTATTAGGTAAAACAGTGATCAGAAAGTATGTCACTTGGTTAATTTTTTTAAAAATGTTAATAATTTTTTGTTGCTGTTGTAACCTTTTCTTTCTTCTTTTTGGATCTCTCCTTTTATAATCTGAGAATGAAGGATGCAAAATGTCCTTATTTGTGTACTCTTTAAGTCTTATATAGGACACACTAAAGCCCATGCACGCTCCTGGTGTCTAAATTATATGTATCTAAATATAAAAATACAAAACTGCTTACCACTAAAGTTATGAGGTAGTCTGGATAGTGAGGTATTGTAGCATGATAAGCTATCTTTTCACCAAAAGCGAATATTGAAGATGGTTGAGCCAAATCTATTTCAAAATGAGACCATCTGAATTCTATTTGCTTTAATTTAGTTACATAGCTTTTCCTTTTCTTTAATGCCTGTAAAATTTAAGAAAATCATTAAAAAGCTAATAAAATAAAAAATATTGGTTTTATAAACGATTTGTAATGGAAATGGTTTAGTTGAGTTGTCATACAAATATTTATAAGTGGATGAAGGTTACTTACTGAAATATCATATTTTAGTTTTAAATATACAACGTTAATTTACGGAATCTTGGAATTTTCACAAAACTCAGTAAATAAATGTGCCATTTTTTTTAGTCTTTTTGGAATGTAAGAAGGTTTCAAATACATTAAGCATCAAACGTTTGATGAATAACCTTAGAAAACCTTTATGTTTTGGCAGCAAATTTAATCACCAAGAATGAGAACATAAATGGGATTAATAGATTTTGGAAATTGAACCTTGGTAACTTTATCTGTGAAGACCAGAGCTTTATTGGTAAAACTTTTATATTATTTCTATTTGTGAAAATTTCTTCTTGAAAAACATTTCTCAAGATTTCTTCAAATAGTGAGATTCACATTATGTACCAACAAATATGTATTTTTTCTAAAATTATTTCTGCAAATAGTTATCTATTTAAATTTTATAATGATAATCTAACAATTTGATGAGGTCGTACTATAAATATAATTAGTAAAAATAATTTTTTCAATTGTTCTCAACACTAGAAAGACTGAAACTAAGTATATATACCTATATTGCCCAAAAACAGTAAAAAAGACTGGATTGTGAAAGAATACCTACTGTGTAAAGAAATTTGTTTAAAATTAATTTTTTATATTATTTACAGTTATATAACAAGTTATTAGTAAATATTAACAATAAAAAAATTTATATGTTGTACAAAAAGTCACAAAATTTTACGAAATTGTCATTTTATACATCATTGTTTTTCTAATTGAAATTAAAAAGCAGTCAAAATGACTTCCTTGCGCAATCTAGTGATAAGTAAATTTTTTCCAAATTTTCCCACTAAGTTAAGGAAACACTTCGAATAAGTTAATTTTAGAGGCAGCTTTCAAAAGAAAACATTTGTTGGCCAATGTTACTTCCGTTGTGAAGGTAACTTTGATCACTTTTATTTATTTATTTATTTACTTTTGAATTTTTACTGAATAGAAAGGTATAAAATTATATTGAAACACTATAAATTAATACTTTAAGCTTAGAACCAAATCTAGAAATTATTTTTTTTTACTAACTAATAGTACCCAAATTTCTTAAAAATTAAAATTTTTTAAAAATTTGAGTATAGAAATTTGTAACAAAACTGGCCAAAGTAAACCCAGTTGTAGTTACTTGTTTTTCATTCGGAAAATTTTGAGAATCTTTATTTGTATACCGTCTACTATGGTCTACAGTTTCACTGCTATGGAAATATCTTAATTAGTTATGGCTTAGTTTGTGGCGGAAAAAAAAAGAAGAGTTTCACATCTACTTTAAATAGCTGCTAAAAGTTGCCTTTGGTTGATGTTTGTTTTATAAACAAAATTAAACAAATATAAGGTATTATTTTGAACGGTAGTATCAAGTTGAATGATTTTACTATTCATCAGTTTTCAATTTTGTTATGCTGGATCGTAAGTCAAATCTAGTGGCGTAAAAATTTTTGTTGTTAATTTTTGAATTTTTTTTTGTTATTAAATTTTTCCCAATTTTGGTATTAAGAAAAAGAATTTTTGATAGTTTTTGAAAAATATTTGAAATCACTCTAAAATGAATCTGAAATAGGATGAATTATTTTGAGATGATATAAGATTGAAAAATTGTTTGCATCAAAATGGGAAAATTTGAAGGTTCAGCGTTGAATGACTTTGTATTGGTCACTATAAATCTTCAAATTTTGAAAAAATATTCTAAGATACCATTTTAGGGGAACTTATTTATTATAACTAATATATAGTATTTACAATATACTTAAATTAATTTATTATAAATAAGTTTCCCATAAATATAAGATTTATGTTTTGCAGGAATTTAGAGTGTGTGGAAAATTAAGGTGAAATTATGCAAAAATTTAGAGTTTGTGGAAAATTAAGGAGAAAGTATACAAGAAGAACTTACTTGAGTAACTAATTTGACCAGAAGTTCACGATTAGAAGTAGTCAAGACTAGATAGCTGTCTTCTAGAGTCTTCCATGGATTTGGATTCTTAGCGACAACCGTAAGCTGTGGCTTCATGTAAATTGGAGGTGGCCGAGAAGGTGCTTTAGTGATGGGTGGATGCTTGTTTCTCGTAACAGCACTCTTAGTATTTTTGTCAGTATTAGAAGGAGTATTCTTGACGGTAACATTAATAGTTTGGATATCTGGTTTCAAAGACAGAACGCTTACTTGGGGCTCTTGAAAGCTTTCTTCTTTACAAGTTTTCTTTTCTGAGGAGGATTCCTTTAAAAAAGCAAAACATTAATTTTAAAGATAAGAAATGTTGAACTTAATAGTCAAATGCTTAACAAGGAAATCTTATCTACTAGATAATGGCTTCTCAATCTGGAATAAATGGAGAATTTTAGAACCTGATTGGTGCAATGCATTTGCAACAATAGATCAAATGTAGGGAGATTGATCCCTTAAAATTGAATTATTTGCTTAATATTAAAGCTTCTTTGTTCAAAATATCTAAATTAATAAATATGTCACTAAGGTGGTATTTAGTGGTTATATTCAATTAATGTATATGCATTTGAAAGACGTTAAAGTTGCAGAATTCAAGGGTCCTTTTTGGTATTCTGCTTTTGTACCTACGGAGAATTATAAGAACACATTTTCCATATTTAACTAATTAATATTTTAAAGTTTCATTTTATTCATTAAAATGTATTTGATTGAACTTTGTTACAAAATTTAAAATTTTGAGTACTTTTGACATTTAAAGTCCTTTTTCAGAAACCTTTTTTTAAAAACTTCTTTAGAAACTGTTAAGCATTAAAATAACTAACTTCTATTCTTTCTTTTCTCTTAATATAAAAAAATAATAAGCGACACCACCTCTGTTTTGTGTGCTAGATTTAATGCTCAATTTCATTTATTACAAAACAAAATAGTAAAAAAAAAGGGATAGTAAGGAATGAAATAATAAATAAAAAGAAAAAGCGATAAAAAACTTGCATTTTAATAAACATTGTTTAAATATAGTCTGACATGTTTTATTATAAAATTCATTCTCCTAAAACGTTTCACAAAAAAAAATTATGCCTCTACTATCTATATAGATGTAAAAGATTACTTGTTTATTTTGTGACGCAGTGTGACTTTCTCTTATATCTAGAATCGTCGAAGAACCAATTTCTTGAGCATCTTCACTGACTTCGGTGGGAAAATCGTCTTCATCTAGTTGAGGTGGATCAGGCAAAGGAGGAACCATACCAGTATTATCTACATGAAAAATCTTATCTGAGCACACTAGTCAAAATTACATTTGTAGCACAAAATCGTACTAAATCCGAAATATCACAATAATCACATAAAAATATGAATTGACAAAAGTTTTGCATTTTTTCGATGATATTTCATACTACCATTTCCATCATATAGTATAAAAACATAATGGTCTAAATGTATATAATATTTCATAATATAACACAAATTCTAAATTTTAAATATTTCTAATCCTATATAAATTTAATAAAACATCTTTTTCAATTGAAAACATCTTGCTTCCAGATATGAATGGAAATGCTCTATTGCAAATACGCCTGTAGCATGCAATTAAACGTAGAAAAATGGAACATTTAAGACATTCTCCTCTTTAGGTAATTTGTAACATAAACATTAAGTCTAAAAAAGGAATTGCACAATATTCATACGCGGAAATGTATGCATATTACAAAACAGCGAAGAGACACATCACCAGCCCCCATTTGCTTTTGCAATCGTTTAGCTTATTCGAACTTGTTTTTTAAATCTGGCTTTGTGAATGAACCCTTCGAACCCTTTATTATAACATTTGATCTAATAGTTTAGGAACCAAAGGAAAAAGGTAAGAGAATGAAACGAGAAAAAAAAAATAAAAAAAGGAAGAAAAAGAAAGCATAGAAGTAAAGTAAATGTCACTGACTGAAAAAAATCCCAACACCAAAAAGGAGTTTCGCTAGACAATTTAAATTTGTAGGTTTTGCTTATACAACTAAAAGATGATATCTATTCAAATTTCGTGCCTGACGTACAATGCATGCCCGTTTGCATTCAAAAGTCTGGCGGTTATTAATGATTTAAGTATTATATAATCACTGCCCACACTGCAGGCAATCCAATGAGTTTTGGTTAAAGTTTAAATATCGGGTATGAGGTTGAAGGATTATAGATTCTCAATATTTCATAATTTTAATCTAAAATTTGAAAAATAAAAAATAAATTTAACTTATTTTAATCCTTACCATGAATTTTATTTGCAAATATCATAATTATTACTGTAATTAATGGTGTATAATCTTTTTGAAAAGTTCATTATAATGTGCTTTTACAAATCTTCTAAGTTTAGGACCTGATTTGAAGTATTCATAAATTATTTGAGCTCATTTCATGTCTTTATATTTATAGTTAATTGTTCATTAGTAAGCAAGGATATGAAATCAAAGTTTGGTAACCAAAGTAAGATATACTTTAAAATAAGCATAATATATTCCATTCTACAGAAAAGGTAAATAAGGATAATTATTTAGAGTATGAAGCCAGACTTGACAAAAAAAAAAGTTCTCAAAAAATATTTTTATTCAATTAAAAAAAAAAAATCGTAATCAGGATATGTGCAGAAATAAAAATCATTTCTTCCTGTTGTTTAAAGTTCTTCATTTAATACATAAAATCAACAAAATGGAAAAGCATTTTCAAAGACTTTACATAATTGTGATAAAGTAACTAGTTTCGGATAAATATTGCAGAGAAAGTGGTGAAAATTATGCTTTTTTTGTAATTTATGATGACAATCGACAAGACAAAGAAAAATCTTATTTTGAAAGATAGAAAATAAAGCACTCTTTACTAACCACCAATAAAAAAGTACCTTTAATGGCTTTTAAAAAACGTAAATCAAAAATAAGCACCTTTAAGCACTTTTTCAAAAACACTACGCACCTGTTATTAAATTAAATCTATATTGTAAAGATTTGTATGCCCCAATTTTGTTTGAAAGTAAAAGAAATGAAACTTTTTTTGTATTTAATAATAAAAAAAGCACCATAAATTCCAAAATCAGGGCGAGGTGCTGCTGCCTTGCATTGCCTCTTGGGAGCTTGTGGTTTTGTTGTGGCTGCTGGTTGAATATCTTCTTCATTTGGAGCTTTATGTTCTGATACAGGAAACTGGAAAAAAATATCTTGATATGTAATTTTGAAAACAAATTAAAACTTATTAAGAGTTTCTTAGATACTAAAGATGTCTATATAAGAAAAATAATTTATTTTGTATGCAGGGCACTGTAAAATATATATATTTTTCTATACATACTGCTCTTGCTGGCAGGTTTTTGNAGATCTACGTTACAATAAGCATAATATAGGCCATTCTACAAAGAAGGTAATATAAGGATTATTATTTAGAGTGTGAAGCCAGACTTGACAAAAAACAAGTTCTCAAAAAATATTTTTAATCAGTTTTCTTCCATAAAAAAAAAAAATCATGATCAGGATGTGTGCAGAAATCATTTCTTCCTATTGTTTAAAGTTCTTCATTTAATACATAAAATCAACAAAATAGAAAAGCATTTTCAAAGACTTCAAAGCATTTTCAAAGAAAAACAGTTTCGGATAAATATTACAGAGAAAGCGGTGAAAATTATGCTTTTTTTGTAATTTATGACGACAATCGACAAGACAAAGAAAAATATCATTTTGAAAGATAGAAAATTAAGCACCCTTTACTAACCACCAATAAAAAAAGCACCTTTAATGGCTTTTAAAAGTCGCAAATCAAAAATCACCTTTAAGCACTTTTTCAAAAACACTACGCACCTTGTTATTAAATTAATTCTATATTGTAAAGATTTGTATGCCCCAATTTTGTTTGAAAGTAAAAGAAATAAAACTTTTTTTGTATTTAATAATAAAAAAAGCACCATAAATTCCAAAATCAGGGCGAGGGGCTGCTGCCTTGCATTGCCTCTTGGGAGCTTGTGGTTTTGTTGTGGCTGCTGGTTGAATATCTTCTTCATTTGGAGCTTTATGTTCTGATACAGGAAACTGGAAAAAAATATCTTGATGTGTAATTTTGAAAACAAATTAAAACTTATTAAAAGTTTCTTAGATACTCAATATGGTTATATTAGAAAAATAATTTATTTTATATGCAAGGAACTGTAAAATATATTTTTTCTATACATGCTGCTCTTGCTTGCAGTTTTTTGTTACCTTTTTTTTTCTTTCTTAAACCTATTTATTTTCTCAAGTTTGTTTAATTTATTATTTAGATAGCTAAAAAAGAGAACATAGTTATCAAGCCAATGTACAAAGTGAATTAGGAAAAGTTTAAATGAATACTTTTTTATTTCTACTGATCACCTACATAATGTTTACAAATTGTTCTTTTTATACGTATTTTGCACAGACTATTTAGATAATGAATCAGTTATGCATCACAGTTGAACATCTTTTATAAAAGAACTTGAAATAAATTAAGCTTACTTTAATTTTAATATGCTTGAGGAATGTGGGGGCTAACGAGGAAGCAAAGCGAACTAATTATATTCAATAATTAAGCAGATTTTAGATATATATTTGCTATGACTTTCTTGTTTTTACTAGATTTCCTACCAACTGGCTATTTTGAAAACTGGTTTACTTGCTTGTATAGTGGTCTGATCGGACTATCTTTAAGAAATCGTGAAGAAATGTTCAGTTAAATGAAGTGATGGTTGAACGTAGTGCAATAAATTTAGAGCTTAATACAGTGTATTTTAACGCATCAACTTCGATTTTCAAAAATAAATAAATTAACTACTGTTATAGAGAAATGCTTTTCAAAGAATACTTATTCAAATGAGATTCTATGAGACTATCTTGAATTTTTGTTTAGATTATTTTTAGTTGTTTTCCTGAATTTTCTTATAAGAAGCATCATACACTACAGTACAAAACATTTTTTTAAAGGAAAAAGGTGAAAAATAAAGAACTAGTTTCTATCAGATTCGAAAAATAATGCCATTAAAAATTCTGTGGTTTTTATTTTTAAATTTAAACTATAATATTATTTAGCTAATAGTTTTGTTTAAGCATTTGGATATATTTGTAAGTTTATTTTAAAACTTACCTTACGCTATTTTTTAAACCGATAAAGGCTTTAAATGAACGATGCTGATTTTTTTTAAAAACTTTTTTGTAGCATTTAATACTGTTAAATAATCTGTTAGGAAATGCTGGTTCTAGAATCTAGAATAGTAGTGCATATGCATTTTTTTACTTTTATGAGCAGTTTTTTATAAAAAGCACACTTTTAGAAATCATTCAACTAATTTTCAATTTCAAACATTTATAAACGATAGGAACATTTTTTTTTTATAACTGCATCATCTGAAAGCAAGTTTTTATTAATGTTGAATACTGTAATGATGAGAGTTCATATTCATTTCAACAGATGGCAGCACTACCAAAAATTCGAATATCGAAGGGCTTCAGATTTTCATTTACACATTTTCACAATGAGGAAAAAGAAAGCCCCAATAAAAATAAAAATGATTCAATAACTAGTGACTGAAATTATTCTATATTGACAGATGGCGATTATTTACCTTTTATAACTTAGTATTTTTCTAATTCATTTATTGTTTACTATAGCTCATTATTTTGAGATCTTCAAGGGAAGACATGAATGGTAGCGACATCTAAAAGAAAACAATCGAACTACCTAAATAAATATTCGCAAGAAACAAGTTGTAAGATATTATTCAATTAAAAAACTTCATTCGCTTCATAAATGTACTGATTGGAAATAACAGTCTGTATTGCAAATATGGACCTTTGAAATATTGTTCCTTTGAAATATTGTTCCAATCTGTATAGTTTTGAAGTAAATGAAGTTTTTTAATCGAGCAACATCGAACTAGTTGTAACTTGAATGTATAATTGATATTTAAGTAATTTTAGATGTGTAGTGGCAGTAAAAACAAAAACTGATTTAAAGGAGAAGAAAACAGGTAAATTGCACATTTGAAAACATTATCAAGAAAGTAAAAACTGAAAATTTAAAGAAATCGTAAAACAGTTCTTTTAATTTAGATTGTTTGTTTTGACGTTTCCTTACAATTCAAAGTTTTGAATTAATTAGTTAGATATAAATAGAAAATATATCAACTTTTAAATCTTTAAAGTATTTTTCACATGCACTCAGAATTGCATATACATGAGTCACACATCTTTATAATTGGGTAAATTATTAAGTATCGATCAGGAAGTAATACTAAGAAATAGCTTTATGAAAAAAATGATTATTTGGAAAAAAGTGTGGCTTACTATATTGCCTCAAGTCATGGTATTTGTATTAAATTGCATAGGTACATTAAATACAGAAAAAACTATTCTAGATTCAATAAAAAAAAAAAAATACCTTGAATGTTCCATCCGGATTTTGAGGTTTACTTCTCGGTAGAAGAGAGTGCGCTCTTGGAGGGGGTGGTGGTTTTGGAGGTCTGTTAGAAATCGAAGAACCATTTTTGGAACTTTCCGATGTTACTGTACTAGCTTGCGATGTATTCGAAGATCGAGAAGGTGTCGGAGAATTGGAATTGCATGTGGTGACTCTTTCTTCGGTTTCCTGTAAGCATTTTTGAACAAATTAAAGCATGTTTAAGTCGTTTTATTTTATGAATGCCCTTTTTATTTTATGAAATTGGATTTTTATTTTATGAGGGAGAGGAGCTACACATTACCAGGGCATCCAGCTCTAATTATGTATTTTTAAGAGTCTTTGTCAAATACAAAGTTAGAAATTCATGCACATTGGAGGTAGAAAATTAATATTTAAGTGAGGAAAAAAAATCGGAATTTGGAGGAAAACGGGTGTAAAAGAATCTAAACATGCTTGATTTCTGAAATTGAGTTTTGAATATGTTATAAATAACAGCTTTCAATTCCTCTGACAATTAAAAAGGTTTAGTTTTCAATCCCGCTTTTCTTAGCTGTGATTAGTTAAGGATTTCGATAGCGTTTCTGTTTAATGCTGATAATAAAAGCGTGAATTTTTTTTAAAATTAAGATTGCAAGTGTCAAAAAACAATGTTTTCTGCATTAATAAAAAACAAGTCTTTAAAACTGTTCAAATTTTGTTTTCCAGTGAAATAATATGTAAAGAGCCTTCTGTGAAACAACTACGTGTTGGAAGAACTACTGTAAAACAACTATAAAACAACTGTAAAATAAGTTCTGTAAAAAGAGCTTCTGTGAAAAAGACTACCGTAAAACAACTTCTGTGAAACTATTTTTTTTTTTTAAAAAAAAGGCTAAAAAGAAGAATTTAAAATTTATCTTTTAAATCTTTATAAATATTTTGTGGTTACCACGATTGTGTCGTGTGGTTTCATCCTTTTAGCTATTGATTAAAAACGAAATATTTTGGAATGAATACATTTTTATCAGTCAGGCTAACAAATTTTGACTTGTCACTTCTTTACCTAAAGCTTATCATATGAAAATGATGCTACTAAAAGAATAAATGGAATCCTAATCGAAATATAGATTTCACCGGATTTAATAAAAAATAGTAAGGAAAAACATATTTTTTTGTCATCAATATATTGGGAAATCAATATAATCAATATGTAATAACATATTTCTATAAATTAAAGTGAAGCCTTAATTTTTTATTTAAAAAAAAAGTGTTGTAGAAAGAAATTTTATCAGTAAAAAATCTTTAACCACGATACTTATATTAGTATAGTAGGTATATTTTACCACAATTAATTGAACAACACTAGCTTCAATAAAAAAATGAAAAATAATTGTCCTGTCTATTTTATTTTTAAATACAACGCTATAGACGAGCACATAACGTTTAAGTACAAAAAATATCTTTCATTTCTTATTATATAATAATGTTCAGACTAACGTTATTCCTGCTACATTAAAAATGTTTAAAGTATTTTAATTAATATATGCTACCTATTTAAATTATATACTCTGATTATATACAATATTAAAAATATTAAATTTTTATGTTTTTCAAAACCTCAGCTCCGCCTTTCAACATAGACGGAACGTAACCTCCAAATGAAACATTTTCTTTTAAATTATTGTTCCATTTAGTACTATATGATATTTATAATAAAGAGAGCTGCCATCATAAAAAATTGAAAAGACAAATGATGACTTTATAGAAAATAATTACTATGAAAATAGCTCAAAAATTGACAAAAATAAAGTATATTCTTGTATTGGGGTCTAATCGGATTTAGCGAAAAAAAATACAACAGAAACTTTTCATTTGAATAAATTCGCTATATATAAGCTTCTTTTCCCCACTTCTTTCCTTATCCTCCTCCATCTAAACGAGTCGGCAGCTTTTTTACCACTTACTATGAGGAGGATACTTCCCGGCTTGGCATGCGAAAACGTCTGGGAGACGTCATTTGTTTCTTATTTCAAAACAATATTTGACGTGTCTCAGACGTCTTCAACAGAGAGATGCCAGCTTGCTCCGGACAGCAAAAAAATATTTTAAAGTGGTAGTTTATCAATTGTGATTTTTGGTTTAATAATTTCAATTTAGTAGATTTTTATCCACCACTATTCCTAAACAATTCGTACGCTTATATAATTCACCACTTTATAGTAGTTACGTCATGCTATACCTTTTAAAAAGCAAGCAAAAATAGTCAAATATTTGAAAAATTTAGTTTGTAGTTATTTACCGTTTTTTAAATTATTTTGGCGTGTCCGGAGCAGTTGGCATCTCAGTCAACATTCCGTTGCGAGTTGTTGTTTACGGTGCAATCAAAGATCATTTCTATATCAAGAAATGATATGTCTAGGGGTTAATAGTTTGCTACAGGCTTTCGGACGCGTTTTTTTATATATAAAGTCATATTTTTAAAAAAATTTTATTTCGTTAATTTTAGAGCTATATTTACAGTATTTATTGTATTATACAGGATTAACTCTCGATTTATTCGAATAAAGAAAGCGAGGAGAGAAAAAGAAAGAAAGAAAGAAACCGATTTGCAGTTCTGTATTTATGTAATATATGTATTTATGTATTTCACTCACTCAGCTCACTCAAAACAAGACATCTAATTTATTACATTATAAATTATTTTCATCACGAGAGCTTTTTAAATAGTAATCCAGAAGAGTTGTAAGCTTGTGCATTTTTAAAATCAACAAAATTGCATAAGCGTTTGATCCCAGACAAAGTTATTTTAAAAAAATAAATTAAAGAAAAAAATTCACTGTAAGTATGTTTTATTTTCATATTTATTTCAATGTTTTATTTTGTTTGAATGTCGACGCAATATTACTTTAAATTTTACTTTACGCCCGTCAATTTTCGGTTTATTTTGTATTTTTAAAACGAAGAAAATAGTCCAAAGTATTTGAAGTCCATCTTTCTTACATCCAGATTTTTAAGAGTTTGTGTTCGAATCAATTTTAAAACTATATTGAAAACCGTTACTCTGTTCAACATTAATTGGACATTAAGATATCGTGTTTCGTTGAATATATATGATTGTAAATATATTAAGAAGGGTATTTATCCGTTTCAAAGGATTATAAAAACCGTAAAACCTATAATCAGTGTTTGTTGATTTCAATCACGATTTCAAATCGATTTTTTTAAAAATCGCTCTAAATTAAACGCTATTTTTTAGTAATAAATATTAGACTTAAACATTTATAAAAATAATTTAATATGAGATTGTTTAAATTTTCTGTTGATTTTCATAGTTTTAAATTTATTGCAGTGTTATGTTTAAGTAAACAAATTTACACTGATAATTGATACAGTAATTTTTAAAATGGAAGTTTAAAAATCTTAATTTTAATGGGTTTTCAGAATAGAAATAATGAACTAAGTGAAAATCTAATGCAGTTGTTTTTATACTTTACTTTTGTAAAAAGTAGTTAAACTTTGATTCCCCCCCCCGAAAAAAACAAAAACAAATATGAAGCTAAAGAAAACTTTACTGATTCTTAGTTCTTAAACCAAAACATTATTTTATTTAAAAACTGCAAATATATTTCTGAATCTTAAAGTATACCAAATTGTTATGCTTAGTTTAGAAACGCGAAGCTACCAGATAAGGATTATATATATAATTTTATCATTACTTAACTTTAATTTTGTCAGCGTATGTCTATGTTTTGTATATATATGACTTCATGCTGTTGCTCAGAGCTTTGGAGTCGGTAGTTGGAACTGTCGAATCCAACTTAGACACCGATTTATACTCAATGAAATGTTCACCGTATCTCAAGAAAGTATTAATTGCTGCGATATAATTTTTTTGGTACCATAACTTATTATATTTTAACTAATAATTTGAATGCTATTCTAGTAATAAAAAACCTCTATCTTAAATTATTTACTCTATCTATTCCACTAATAATATAGTTGGTTAGTAGATTTATAAAGATTTTTTTTCTCTAGTTTTACGTAATACAAAATGTACCTGACTTTAAATCGAGGTTTATTATTTGCACCAAGCTTACAAATGAGAAAATATAGGAAAAAAATAACTGTAAAATTTTATTTAAATAAAATGTTTTTAAGACTTTACGAATCTTCAGACAAAAAAGTATGAAATAAAATAATTCAAAAATATTTAAGAAGCAACTTTTCGATTGTTTTTAAAAAAAAAGTTAGAAATAAAATATGGAATGAAACTTAAAAGAATCGAGTTCATATAGTCTCAGTTAATTTTCCAGATATTATGTACATTTTATTTAAATTTTATCTGAAAATAGTGTTGCAAGTATTTCTTATAAAATTTTTAAGAAAAAGTCAGATGAGAAGTTAGTGGTTTTTGAAAATAAATAGCACCAAATAACTAGAGACTTTTTATCGTCTTTCTTTTAAAAGTTCGTAAAGAATTCTTGCAACAATATTTTAAGTAACTGAGTACTATATCATCTTGGTTCTTAAAATTTAAATTCAATATTTTATTTCTTAGTGTTTCATGCAAAACCATAACCATAGAAAAGTTTGTTTTTAAATTTTTTTTCAATTTTAAGTTTCTAATAAGAGTCCTTTCAGAGATGCAAGCCTATACTGTTTCTCTCAAAATTATTCTTTTTTATTAAAATATGGAGAATTAAATGAATGCATTATTTTCAATTTATAATTAATAATTAAGTAATTAATATTTCTGTACACTTCTGGTTTCATTTTATTCATTGAAATTCGTTCAATTGAACCTAGAGACCAAATTTTAAATTGTAAGAATTGTAGTAAATTGTAGTAAATATATTTGAAACTTCAACTTAGGAAAAGTTTTAGAAATACGTATTTACAATCTCAAATTTTTAAAATTTGGTAACTAGGGTAACTTCTATAGAACTAGGGTAACTTCTATAGAACAAATTTCAATGAATGAAATTAATTAAATAGTATTAAAAAATGCTAGGTATTTACTCAGTAAATAAGGAAATAGCGTTCATGTGTGTGTGTAATTCTGGTAATAGCGTCCAATGGAAGAGAATTATTTTTTTGTCTGTAGAATTTTAATTTATTATGGTATTTTTTTTTAAATGAGAAACCTGTATTACTGAAACAATCAGAGTATACAGATAAAGTATTGAAAGACAAGCTTATAAATTTGT